GGTTGGCATAGGACGGGGCACACGCTGTCCCCATCGCTGTTCCAAGCACCTGGTGATAGAACCTGTCATTAAAGCGGAAATAATTGTGTGTTAAGATGAACTTCAACAGTTCCTACGTGAACTCAGAATGTTTTGAGTAATTAATTCCTCTTTTATCCAAATAGTTTTTGACGTGTTGGATACCTCCCTCATGTGGTATGGAGGAATAAAGAGCTTCCACGTCAAGACTACATAAACTCACAGGTTCAGGGAGTTTAAGGTTCGAAAGGAGTGCCAGGGTTTGCTTTGTGTCCTGAATAAAGGACGGTAATGATTCCACAAAAGGGTGTAAAATTTTATCTAAATAAATACTACCATTTTGTGTAAGGTTATTGACTCCCGATACAATCGGACGTCCCGGAGGGTCAAGCTTGTTTTTGTGAATCTTGGGTAGGCAGTAGAAGGTTGCTATCCTCGGATTCTTATTAAGGATGAATTCATGTTCATCCCTGGATAGCAACCCTCCACTGCGACCCTTGTCTAAAATCTGTTGCAACTCCTTCAGGAAGGCATTAGTAGGATCTGCCTGGAGAACACGATACGTGTCTCTGTCATCAAGGATCTTCAGGGCCATTCTTACATAGTTAGATGAACTCATGATAAATATGTTGCCTCCCTTATCTGCCGGCTTGATGGTAATAGTCCTATCATCTTTAAGGGAGTGCAAGGCTTTAGACTCATGTTTAGTCAGATTATTATTTGGATGTAAATCAAAATCCACATTCCTAATGCTCTCTATTTTGAATCTGACTGCCTCTAGGAACAATTCATTGTTCCTGAAGCTGCCTATATGGGGTGTAAATCGACTCTTTGGTCTTATGTTAGTCTGGCTAGAGATAATGGTAGGGTCATTTTCTTCCAAGAGAGATACTAAAGCCATTAAGCCCTCGTAATCTCTGTCAGAAAGTCCAAGATCTTTAATTTTCTTTTCAGCCTGAAGTTGGTGATATTTACAAAGTGCCAGTTTCCTGACACAAATTTATTGTATGCAGGAACTGGCACAAATGATAAACCTTTTTTGAGTACCTTCGTTTCATGGGGATTTAAAATACGGTCAGAGAGTTTAATAATTTGAGTATCATTGGTTAGTATCGTCTCCTCCTTGTGTATCTTCCTCCCCCTCTCCCTCTGTTTCGAGTCTGGTATGTTTGTCGGGGTGGGTCGTTCACCTGCTCCAATTCTAAAAAATTAACACCCTTTTTGAGAATTCCTCTGGTGTTAGCCTGGTTTGAAGTAGTGGGAGTAGATAGTGATCGGTTGGATTGTCTGTTCTCGTTGTCTGTATCAGACGAATCATAGTCTGAAGTCATTGTGTTATCTGAATTAGTTCTAATTCTACGTGAAAAAGAGCCATAAATGTGGCCTCTTTCATAATCCTTCACTATCGTCACTCCCTTAGTCCCGCCCTCTCACAGTGCAGTCGTAATACAATTATGACATCACAAAAATAGGCGGGTACATTTGGGTTTAAAATGTGGCGCCATTTCCACATTCGGTTAGCTCTTGATAAAGGCGCATGTGTGCGCTGAAATGCGCGTTGTGCATGCCGACATACTTATGTATACCTAGACTTCGGATTTCTGCATTCCAAATGATTAGAGGACGAGGGGGTTAGGTCTTAGATTTTAATATTGATTAGTTCTTAGATCTTTAGCCGGGACCTGAGAGGTCATTTGTTATATCAGACAGATATTCTTCGAGTGAGTCTGAGATAGCCTAGGACTTATTATTTTTTTATTGGGAGTACACTCTAGATTAATAGCATTTAGCTAGCTGTGCTGTGCTGTGCTCCATTGATACTAGATGAGCTCTGTCTATACACTATTTCTCTGTATGTTTAGGTCCGGGCTTTTCCTCACTACCCTCTGTTCTAAGACAACTGTGTAACTATTTATTATTTTTTCTTTTTGGGGGGATCTACTCAGTGTTGTAATTGGGGTTTGGTTTATTTCGGCTAGCATCTCGACCATACTTTTTGGTTCGAGGTACGCTGCCGTTTTTTTCTCCCAAATACTCTGGTATATCTCCATATTTCCCTAACAATTTTAAACCCCCTTTGATTTCAAAGATATTACACTAATATTTCTTATTTTTCCCACTTTTACTGCAATACGCTTGTTGCACTCATATGTGGGTTACAAAATTTATTCTTTGAAATCATTGAAACTAATTTCTAGTTCTACACCTCAATAATATCGGCTACTGATACATTGATACACTGCTGCTAAAAAAATAAATTAGCAACAGTTTACAAGTACACTGTTACTGTCTCAGTATTCAGCCGAGATGACGTGTAATGTATATAGTTGGCAGAATAGCTGTAGGTCTTTATTTAGTTTAATCACCTTTTTGTATTTTTCACTTTACATTGTATATAACACCCCTTTTTCATGAGTCATTCAAGCCTTAAGAGGGACTAATAAAGATTTATTATTTTGTTTAGATATGTCCTATATTCCAGGATGGACACCTTATAGCCATATATTAGTAGAGCAATTGATTACGACCACATACAAGCTACTCTAGGTATCACAGGATTATAATATCTATTGCTTATTTAGGAATATCCCCTTGTAATTTTATGTAAATAGCACAGTATACATATCCCATACTGTCATAACTGTTTATCGTTTGTTTTTTTGGGAGGCGGTGGTGGCTTTGCCAGATTTGGAATTGTTTATGGATGCATCGGAGAGCGTGGGGTTTGGAGCTTATTTTGCTGGGCAGTGGTGTGCAGAACCGTGGCCGGAGGCATGGAAGGCCAGCCTGATTATTCGTAACTTGGCGTTTCTGGAATTTTTTCTGTTGGTAACATGTCAGTAGTCGAAGCCGTTAATGGTTTATCTGCTTCCTCCATCCCAGTGGTTCGGCTACTTCACCGTTTTGCTTTGTATTACATGAAATTTAATGTGGTTTTCCGGGCGTGACACATGCCCGGGTTCTTGAATGTTGTTGCTGACTCGCTCTCTTGTTTTCAGTGGGCGAGGTTTCGGTCGGTGGCTCCGGGCACACAGGAGGAAGTGGTTCCCTGTCCGACGGAGGTGTGGCAGCGCGGGACATCTTGCTTGGCGGACATCTTGCCTAAGTCAATGTTTGGCAAGATTGGGACAGGTGGTGGTTTGTGGGGGGTCACGCTTTTATGGTTCTTGTGTAGCCTGTTTGCTTCAGGTGCTTCTCCTTCGGTTGTGGGGCGGAACGTGACAGCGCTAGCATTCTTATTCAAGCTTAATGGTTGGGAGGACATGACTAAGCTTTTTTTTCATTGTCCGGCAAATACTTAAGTGGTACAGGAAGGGGCGGACGTCGCGAGACGCGCGGCGTCCTGTGTTGTATGAGGTCCTCCCAGGTTTGGTTGGCACGCTCTCTGAGATTTGTTCTTCGGAATATGAAGTTCTGCTGTTTTCCGTGGCCTTTAGCTGGGCCTTTCGGGTGAGTGAATTGGTCAGTAGCAATCGTTCGGTGGAGGGGGTTTGCATCTTTCGGAGGTCGAATTATGGGAAGATCGGTCGGTCTAAGACTGACGTCTTCGGTAAGGGTTGCTCGGTAGTCCTGTTTTCGTTGCTAGGTGTCAAAGTTTGTCCAGTGTCTTCGACTTTTTGGACAATACGGGCAGGGGTTACACATACTTTATGTGAATTAAATATATTATTAACCTTTCGTATATATGTTTAACTATTAATTACACTGAATAAAGTTCAACGAATAAAACAATGTTTAACCAATCAAAGAAACGAATGAGATTTTATTCAGCTTTATGTATCTTTGACAGAACATCTGTAAAATTCTTTACAGGCCAAAATATGAAACAATGATAAGTGATTATTAGAAATGGCTAAGTATTTGCATTCTTTAGATGATATGCCTTCATATTCCTTATACGCCACACATTACATTCATTTGTTAATAGTTACAATCACACTTGTTAATTTTACGGAAATATTATTGAGAGTTTTTACCAATCTTCTCTTTCACCCAAGGATGGAAAAACTGTGACCTTTCAGCTTTCACAAATATCCATTATTATCTGCGTAATAACATCATTCATGATACAATGTGTGTTTGGCAGACTGAACAGTAGGTGGAGCTGTAGCAAGCGAAACAGTTTATTAACTGTTGTGTTTATTCTACAACAGAAGGAAGTTTTCTTGTTTTACTTGTTCTTTGTATGACTCTGATTTTGTTGTAATTTGTGGTTTTGTCTTGGTCTAATGTTTGTCTATAACTGTAAAGTTGAATGCCCTGCATTCATTTAAATCATGCTAATGTCAATAATGTCTGATGGAGGTATCAGGGTATCTGCAATATAGTTTAATAAAAAAAATAGTCTGAAAATAGCATTGCACTATATTTAGTTAATGCAGACTATTTTTTCATGAAGGTGTTCTGCTCCAATTTACTTCACTAGCACTAGTGTGTGGGTAGTGGAGGGTGCAGTCAATGCAACATGGTGACGACATATTAATTTATATATTAAAATCTTGTTTTAATTAGTACAAGCTGCGTAATATTTGGTATTCTGGAGTAAATACCCTTTGATCCAATAGTGCATTGCATATGAAAAGCTAGATCTAACTAATATTAAACAATTTACTGTGCACAAAGGCACAAGGCTCAAGTATACCAGGAACCACATGCTCCAAAATATTTAACTCTATTTGTTCCTTCATTAATTATTCAGCTTTCTGCCTGTTATCTATTTATTATTAGACTTGCCAGTTGAACACATACCTGCTTCTTAAGGGCACCAATAAAAAATGATGTACTTAAGTTTTTCTAGAACATTTTATCTCACGGATCCTGAGTATTCTAACATTTGCATTCCTGAATTTATTTTTAATAATTCTCACATTCTCCTTTATCCGCTATACAAACAAACAAAAATCATGTTTGAGTCGGTCCGTCAGGCAGGAAAGGGTTACGTATTTTCTTTACATATATATACCATTTTCTAAAACATTATGTTACTTTTCATCCTCATCTCCTTCACTCATGCTGCTAATGGATGCTGAAGCACCCTTAGGAGATGAAGGAGTGGACAGCTTGTTGATCACCCACGGTAAGGTTGGAGAAGGAGATCGTGATGGAGAACGTTCTCGGGTGGGGCTGCCAGTAGGACTCTGGAGTGGTGACAGAGCTTGAAGCATTCTCCCACTGCGTTCCTGAAACATCTGCTTCTAGAACAAAATAAATCACCTTTACTCAATTACAGAATCAAATATTTTGGTCTGTTTAAAGGGACACTAACATTATAAAATGTTCGTGTTTGTGCAATTCAGGGTCAGGAAGTGTAGAATAACACAAGCTTTAGTTTACATAATCCAGCTTTTCTATTTGTGCTTGCTATCTAATCACCAAGTACAAGAGGCACTGACAATTCCCATAAGAAACCAAGATTTAACACCAGCTTACTTGTACATTTCTTTCCTTTCTATACACTGCCAGGGTGCCTGTAGATCAATGACGGCACCAGGCAGCTGATTACTTGTCTCTTCTTTCAACCCCCAAGCTTTAGGTAGGTACCTAAATTTTGCATAAACATATAATACTGATTTATACACCAAACCATGAATTTTGAAGAAGTGATGGGGGTTTTAGGATAATATAGCTGAATTGGAAATATTGTGTATATAGATAATGCAAAATTAGTTGTGCATCTTATTTGATTAAGTATACTTTTAAAAAGCAAATAATATCAAAGGACAATTCCAGGCACCATGGAGACCATCTCAATAAAGCCACTATGGTGTCTGGAGGTCCTGGGTACCATTTTACCTGATGGGGTAAAACCATTGGTTTAACCCCAAAGTACTCTCCACCCTCGTGGCCCCTCTGCCTCCTTCATGACCCAGTGCTTTAATGCAAAGCATTTACATGGGTACCAGAGATAGACTGAGAACGTCAGTTAAGACTTTCAGCCTATCACTGGCCTCCCATTGAGAAAATACATTAGAAAAGTATTCATGAGAGCATTTTTAGCGTTAACTCGTTCCTTAATGGTTTAATCCCTCAAGATAAGAAGGCATACAGGACCTCCAAACACCATTGCGGCTTCATAGAGATAAAGTCATTATAGTGCCTTTAATGTTCATTTAAGATTTATGTATAATAGTTATAACTAGTTACTGCATCAAATGGACCAACCATTCACTCAATGTCTCTAAGCAAATATGTCCCTTCATGTACATAATAATATGGAATCGTTGCATTGTGCTGGTGAACTAACTAATGTGTATACACTGATTAGCCACAACATTAAAACCACTGAGGTGAAGTGAATAACATTGATTACTTAATTACAATGGCACCTGTTAAGGGGTGGAATATACTAGGCAGCAAGTGAACAGTCAGTTCTTGAATTTCATGTGTTGGATGCAGGAAATATGGGAAAGTGAAAAGACCTGAGTGACTTTCACAAAGTCCGAATAGTGGTGTATAGACAACTAACTCAGAGCATCTCTAAGAGTCTTGTGGAGTGATTAGTACCTACCAAAAGTGGTGCAAGAAAGGACAACTGGTGAACTATGTCAGGGTCATAGGTGCCCAAGGCTCACTTATGCACTTAGTGAGCAAAGGCTAGCTCATCTGGTCCAATCACACAGAAGAGCTACTGAAGCTCAAATTGCTGAAAAACATAATGATGTCCATGATAGAAAGGTGTCAGAGCACACAGTGCATCGCAGTATGTTGCATATGGCTCTGTGTACCTGCAGACTGCTCAAAGTGCCCATAATGACCCCTGTCCATTGCTGAAAGTGCCTTCAATGGGGATGGGATTGTCAGAGCTGGACCATGGAGTAATGAAAGAAGGTTGCCTGGTCTGATGAATTAAATTTTCTTTTAGATCATATGCATTGTTTACCTGGGGAAGAGATGACAGCAGGATGCACTATGGAAAGACAGCAGGCCAGCGGAGCCAGTGTTATGCTCTGGGCAATGTTCTGCTGGGACCTTGGGTCCAGACATGTTACTTCGACAAATACCTACTACCTAGAGTTTGTTGCAGACCACATAAATCCCTTCATGGCAGTGGTGTTCCCTAATGGCAGTAGCCTTTTTTTAATTTTTTTTTTATTTTGTGCATAGAAATAAAAACAACATTTGAGCTTATAATGCCTTAACAGCACATGCAAGTGCAGAATAACACATAGTATAACAACAGTTGGTCAACATTATGTGGCTAAGGCACGTTTTATAGTATATAATATTTAGGATATGCATGCATATCAATTTACTGGAAATAAGCTGTTGAACATAGAGATTTCAAGACATGAAGAGTGTACACAGCAGGTTCCCCAAGGAGCCCCAACCCCCACCACCACCACGACCACCACCACCACGCTGACTAAATGCTCAAAGGAAAAATCAACAGGTTAAGCTAAACAGTGAGGAAATGATAATCAAAAACAAAGGGAAAGAGTGGTCAAAACTTAGCTAAATCCAATGGCTGCAATAAGCCCTGCACCTCACCCCCCCCACCCCCCCCACCCCCCAGAGAGATAGGGGCAACAAGGATCTCAATGTAGCTCAATTCTAGGGCCCGGGTCACCCTACACCCTGCATGGGCAAAACACAGTCTGACAGTCCAAAAACTGGAGGGACAAGCTTTAGCCTGCGGTTTACCACATATACCGCGAATGGGTGGCTCAAGCCCGGACTGTGTCTGTTCCCGCGGCCGTATTGCCTTTCATGCTTTAGCAATCTGTGGTGCCCGATCCATCGCCATATTAGAGTCTGGTTTGCTGCCTGAGATTAGGACTCCCGTTTGACATCTGGATTTGGCTTTCGAGGTGAGTGGCTAGGGGTTGGCTGGCACAACCTGCGTTCCAGCTTCTAACAAAAGTTAAAAAAGAGACAGTCATGCTTGGACAGGATATCAGGTTGCTCGTTGTTGGTAGTAGGGGAACATGCGGTCTCCGCCATGTTGGGAGTGTTGCAGGAGACCCTGTCAGGCTTGTTGACTTCACCCTGTGTTCCAGCTAAGTTGGGGTAGCCTCCCACAGGTGGAGGGGGATCACCACCACCGATCCTGGGGGTGGTTATTATATTATATAGCAAAAAAAGTGACCAAGTGCATTTGTGCAAAAAACACACTTGTAAATGTATACAAAGATAGTGCAATTTACAATAAAAAAATGTACTTAGCTTTCCCACTTTGGAATATACCTTTAACTTGTATCGGCATTCCAATATAGATCTCAAAAAAAGGGGGAAATATACAATCATAGGACAGTATGTTTGAATGTTATATATGTAAAATATTAACAAAAACACTCACAAGGGTAGAGCAATTTAGTCTGCTCTAAACTTTGATGGCATCTTGTGCAACATATGCAAACTGGAAGCTGTGGTGACAGTTGAAATCTTTATTGACACTTTTCAGGATAAAAGCTGCTCCACAGGCTGTAAAGTCCCTTTATTTTGTGTATCCTCCGCTTTCACTGTGCTGTGATGACTTGTAGGTTCCACTTGTCTAGCGCCGGCTTGCTGGACTCTGGGTACCAAGAACAGTCTTTCACGATCAAACACTTCCGGGAGGCGGGGCTTTCAGCCGTTAAGTTTGATGACGTAATTACGTCAAACCGTGATGACGCGTTTCGCCGATATGCTCAGCTTCATCAGATTTTTATTGTAAATTGCACTATCTTTGTATAGATTTACAAGTGTTGTTTTTGCACAAATGCACTTGGTCACTTTTTTTTGCTATATAATATTGCACATTTTATTCCCACTTGTTTAAAAACTCCTTTCGGTCTTAAAGGCACAGCGCACTTTACTCTTCTGGTTTTGTATAGTCACATGTGTTTGAGCTTTTTCACTGTATATAGTGCTGCTTATTACATATTTATTATTATTAATTGATCCAGCGCCATAATATTACTTGTGTGTTTTTTAGTATTAATATTAGGCAGGTGGTTTTAATGTTGTGGTTGATCAGTGTAGATTGTGAGATATTATTACATTAAGTTCACTGACAGATCTTTGTACATCTATAAGGTCTAGCACAAAACCACATAATACAGTTGCATGCAAGCCATTCTGTGATTCTGTGCTTTTGCGTGAATAGGGTACTCTTATCTTTCTTATTTTACTTGTACCATTTTTGAGCACATATTGTAGTATAGCAGTAGCAGTATCCTACCCAAGCTCCATCTGGGCCAAATAGCTCCAAGAAATTTCCTATAAACTCCCTTGATTTCTCTTCCCACTTTTGAATAAGATCATGGCTTTTTTCTTCCACTTTATAAACAAATTCTTTTGATTTTTCTTCTACATTTTTCACCTTTTCTTTCATCTTGTCCACTTGGTTTTGAAACCTATATTTTTTCTCCTAAAGAAAAAAAAAATGAAGATTTTACATTTGAAATGCTTCACAAACATTGTAGACATTTCCCCCAAAAATATATTATAATAATGTTCTTACTCTACCGTTAATAAATATATATATATATATATATATATATATATATAATCTTTGTGTATGTGGACTGTGCCTGGAATGCAAATCTGTGTTTGTGTGTGTTTCCGTATGTCTGTAAGCATGTGCTTCACTGTGTCTTTGAGCATGTGTATTATTTGTCTGTCTGGGAGTGTATGTGTGTGGGGAAGTTGTTTGCATTGTGCTGTGTGTATGGAGATGCTGCTTGTAGTCTTGATGTGTGCATTGTGTGTATGGAGAGGCTGTGTTGTGTCTGTGAAGCTGTTGTCTGTGTATGAGGGTGATTGTTTGTATAAGGGGGCTGTGACAGAGTAACTGTGAACAAAAAGTGTATTTAATTTGTACTGCATATAGAAGCCTTAGATCATTAACACTATCATATATTATTTGTATATTAAGTGTGCCATAGCGCTAGACCAAAAAGAATTAAAGGGACACTATAGTCACCAAAACAATGTTAGATTGATGAAGCAGTTTTTTTTTTTTATAGATTATGCCTGTGAAGTTTCACTGCTCAATTAACATCCATTTATGAGTTAAAACAATTTTCTTTCTGTTTATGCAGCCCTAGCCACACCTCCCCTGGCTGTGACTGACACAACCTACATGAAAAAAAAAAACAGTTTTTATCTCCTGCTCTGTAAATAGAACTTTAATTACACACAGGAGACTCCGGTAGGTTTTATCAAACTATTAAATAAAAGCAGGAGATAAGACATTCTAAATTAAACAGAATTTGCAATAAAAGAAGTGTAAACAGGTGACTCTTTAAGGAAGTGTTTAAAGGACCACTATAGTGCCAGGAAAACATACTCGTTTTCCTGGCACTATAGTGCCCTGAGGGTGCCCCCACCCTCAGGGTCCCCCTCCCGCCCGGCTCTGGAAGGGGGAAAGGGGTAAAAACTTACCTTTTTCCAGCGCTGGGCGGAGAGCTCTCCTCCTTCCTCCTCCTCCGTTCCTCCTCCTGGGCTGAATGCGCACGCGCGGCAAGAGCTGCGTGCATTCAGCCGGTCGCATAGGAAAGCATTTGCAATGCTTTCCTATGGACGCTTGCGTGCTCTCACTGTGAAAATCACAGTGAGAAGCACGCAAGCGCCTCTAGTGGCTGTCAATGAGACAGCCACTAGAGGATTAGGGGGAAGGCTTAACTCATTCATAATTATAGCAGTTTCTCTGAAACTGCTATAATTATGAAAAAATGGGTTAACCCTAGAAGGACCTGGCACCCAGACCACTTCATTAAGCTGAAGTGGTCTGGGTGCCTAGAGTGGTCCTTTAAGAATGCTGTGTAAGTCACATGCAGAGAGGTGTGCCTAGGGCAGCATAAACAAAGATACTTAACTACTAAATTGCAGAGAACTGAGCAATGAGACTGCAGGGGCATGATCTATACACCAAAACTGCATCATTAAGCTGTATTGGTGACTATAGTGTCCCTTTAAAAGTAAATATAATAAATGCTTTTTATTGCTAACCTTAAGAAGTTCTTCCAGGCACCAATACCACTTCAGTTATTTACTATAGTGAGAATTCAAAGTGAATGGAAAATTTTAGGTCTGAGTAACCAAATTAACAGCAAAGGTATTTTGACCTTAAAGCGGCACTGTCATGGCTGAATCCCGTTTTTTTTTTAACCCCCCTCCCAACTCCACTACATCTAACTCCCCTAAGCCCCCCATATTACCTAGTTTTTAAACTTTATTTTCTGCCGCGACCTAGGTTCTGGCGCCGCCATCCTTGTGTGGGTAGATGAAGGCCCTGTGGGAAACGTCATCTGCCCACACTAGATAGCGCTGTGAAATTCTAGCGCATGCCCATTTAAACACTTGGGCATGTGAACGAGAATTTAATCTATTCATTCATTCATCTGAAAGACGAATGAATGAATAGAAATGTCAGACGAACAAACAAACACTGAATTTCGGTGTTTGTTCATTCACTTTATTACAAGGAGGGAGTTCCCGGTCGCACAGCACCCTCCTTGTAATATGTATAGATAGAAGCGGCAGGGAGCAGTGCCATGAGTAGGGGCATGTCTACTAAATAGTGAGCAGCCATCCATGAGGGCCGGGTGGGGGCCGTAAATGAGAATGGGGGGTCACCTATTGTCCTCCCCCATGCCCCGACCTCTGAGCAGCTTGTGGGGGCCCTAAATGAGAACGGGGGGTACATTTTTTGTCCTCCCCACGGCCCCCAACCCTGAGTGGCTGGTGGGTGCCCTACATTTTTATTTCGTCTGATTTTTTTATGCTTTCATTTTTTTTATTTCATTTTTTACAAGTTCAGCGGGTATTATGGTTTTTATTTGGCCTTTTCTGGGGCTGAAAAATTGATAGTTTTGAAAAAAAGACATCAAATGGTAAGTTTTATTATTTTCTTTACAGGTACTTAGTTATTTTATTACCCCCACACTATTTCTAGGGTGAGGGGAGTAGGTAGGGGTTTATTAATTTTTGTTTTGGGTGGGAGGGGTGACTAGGGGCTTGGGGACCCCAAGTCACCTTGGGGGGGGGACATTTTCATAGTCCCCACTCGCGCGGCACAGGTGGGGGTTCAGGAGGGGGTACTGGCGTGTTTTTTTTTTACAGTGTGTTTACTAGACATGCCTCTACTTGCGGTATAGCAAACACTGGCCAAAGTTAGTGTTAATATTTGTTTGTGTGTGAAAAATGCAAAAAACGAATTTGAACGCCAATTTTGGCCAGTGTTTGTGACTAAGTGGCTACTAAAAAAGACTGGACATACCCCATTTGCAATACCTTGGGTTGTCTACTATTGCAAATGGTATGCCATCATGGGGATAATTTTCATTTCTGGGCTACCATACGGTCTCAAAAGCAACATAACCAACCTGGCAAATTTCAATGTGAAAAAACGGAAACGCAAGCCTTATATCTGACTCTGTAACTTTTGAAAACACCATAAAACCTGTACATGAGGGGTACTGTTATACCCGGGAGACTTCGCTAAACATATATATTAGTGTTTCAAAACAGTAAAACATATCACAACAATTATATTGTCCGTGCCATTTGTGTGTGAAAAATGCAAAAAATTTCACTTTCACTGACGATATCATCGTTGTTATACATTTTACTGTTTTGAAACACTAATATTTGTGTTCAGCGAAGTGTTCCAAGTAAAACAGTACCCCCCATGTACAGGTTTTAAGGTGTCTTGGAAAGTTACAGGGTTAAATATAGTGCTAGCAAATTAAATTCCTTGGACTTTGGGCCTGAGTTATCAGGCAGGACCCACAAATTGTAATTAATAAAATGACCTAATTATGTAAAATGATTACATAGATATATACGTAGAATTATTATATATATACACGTATATATATATATATATATATTTATATATAGATATATGTATATAATTTTTTCAAATTATTTTTATTTATATATAGGTATATATTTAGTGATATATACGTATGTCTATAGATATATATATTATTTGTTCTACATGTATTTTGATATCAATATATATATATATATATATATAAATTTTAAAATACAGTTAGAATGAATTTACACACATATATATTTTTTAATTATTTATTTATTTATTAATTTTTTTTAACGTAGTTACATATTTATTTATTTTATATTATATATAAATATATAATGATAATTATATATATATATATATATTTAATCAATATCATTCTAGTATTTTGATATTAATATATATATAATTATATATATATATATATATATATTAAAATACACTTAGACAGTGTATGTGTATGTATGTATGTATATGTGTATATTTATACTTAGATCATATATATAATAAGTATATATATGATCTAAGTATATATTTTATTTTAAACTGTAACTTTAACATTTATTTTACTATTTACAGGCAGCAGGGGGAGTCCCTGTTATTGCAGGCACTCCCCCTGCTGACATTGCTATGGACGGCTATGAACGTCCATGTGATCACGAGGTCCTTGCAAGGACTTGAGTAATGCTTTCCTATGGGCGGCTTGAATGGGCGCGCGGCTCTTGCCACGCATGCACATTCGGAGCTAAGAGATGGATCAGGGTAGAGAGATCCCCAGTGCCAAGGGAGCCCGGTGCTGTAGAAAGGTAAGTGCTGAAGTGGTTTTAACCCCGTCAGCCCAGCGGGAGGGGGTCCACGAGGGTGGAGGGGACCTAAGGACTATATAGTGCCAGGAAAACGACTTTGTTTTCCTGGCACTATAGTGGTCCTTTAATGACAAACATTTAGCTACACATACAGACAAACAGATACCCATGCAGACCAATGATACACATATAGACCCACATACAGGCACACACACACATGCAGACACACACAAAGATACACATACATAAACACATACAGACACACACTCATAGTGACAGACCCACATACACACTCACTGACAAACACATATACACTGTCACTAACAAACACACACTCACTAACAAACATACACACACACTCTCACGAACAGACGCATACACACTAGCTAACAAACACACACATTTACTGACAGACACACACTCAGTGACAGACATACATACACACTCATTGACAAACACATATACACTCTCACTAACAAACACACACTCACTAACAAACAAACATACACACACACTCTCACGAACAGACGCATACACACTAGCTAACAAACACACACATTTACTGACAGACACACACTCAGTGACAGACATACATACACACTCACTGACAGACAGACACACATACACACTCACTTACAAAACATACACTCACTGACAAACACACACTCACTAACAGACACCAAATAGACTTAATAACAGAAACACACTAACAGACACACACAAACTAAGACACAACTAACACACACACAGTAACACACTCACTGACACACACACACATTCACTGACACACAAAAACTAACACACTCACTAACAGACACACACTCAATAACAGACACACAAACTAACACACAACTAACACACTCAGTAACAGACACACACACACACACACACACACACAGTAACACACACATTGACACACACACTAATACTAACATACATACACACTCAGATTTTTTTTTAAATTGAATTCTCCAGCCTCCCTACCTTTCCCTGGGGTCCAGTGGGGCTGCTGTTCAGTCGGTCCTGCAGGCGGCGAGGGAGCACTGATCCTCCTTTTCGGCTCCCTCACACGCTGCTTACTGATGCCTGAGCAACGTCATATTCTAGCTCCTGCATCACTGCGGTACGCGCAAGGGAGCTGGGCAGAGAGAGCTCAGGGGAGAATGCTCCCTCGCGCGCCTGCCCCCCCACCCGCAAAATGACGCTACTGCCAGCTCGGGGGGCAAAATGTGGCCATGGCCGCACTGGCGTACATACCTGGTTGCAGGGCGGCCAGGTTCCCTGGATGGCCGGGCCCGGTCGCAGCTGCGACCCCTGCGATCGCGGTATGTACGCCAGTGGATTCAAGTACCCATTTTTAATATTCCTGCAGTGTTCACTTAATCTAATTTTTAAGAACCTTGTGATCATTCCAACATACTGGAAGCCACAGGGGCATTGAAGCAGATATATTGCATTCTTTGTATTGCAATTCATGTACTCTTTTATCTTATAAACCCTTTTTGTCCTATTAGATGTGAATTGAGTTACTTTGGAAGGTACCGTGGGGTCTGTAGTTTTACAGACTATGAAAAATTAGCATTTGCAAAAACCTATGGTTTGGGGGAAAAAAGGACAGATTTTGTTCGTTTGGAGTTTCTCTAGTAAAATTGGTAGTTAAAATGGATTTAAAATTGGGTGCTTCTCTAAAAACTATATTTGGATTTTCGGGTATGACAAACCCCACCAATATCACAATTTCGTTAAAAGACGACCTTCTCAGTATTCACCACAAAAAAGTGCGACCACACAGAGCTCAAGCCAATTACTACCATGTTTCTTAACACAGATCTCATCACAGTTTTGTACCGAATTTCTCTGCTAAACAATGTCACTCACCGTCACACAATCGTAAAACTTCACAACGAACATACAATAATATCCAACATTCACCAAAACATCACAACAAACACCCATCACCCAAACCTCAAAGATCACGGTACACTAATGACTACAAAGAATATTCAAATTACTCAAATTCGACTTGTAATCCAATCTAGTACAATGTACATAGAAGAGCCACAAAGGCAACTCAGTGATAGCAATGTACATGAGAAACTTTCATCAGGCCCGACTAAAAATATACAAGATATTTTATCCCAGTTTTTAAAAAAAGGTTTTGAACAAAATATTTTAAACAAACATGAGTTCAATTTTTTAAACAAAACATTTCCTATAATTCCTGTCATATATTTTCTCCCCAAAACACATAAAAATGCACAGAAACCCCCAGGAAGACCAATTGTGTCAGGTATAGGCTCCATTTTATGCAACCTCTCCCAGTATATAGACACCCTTCTCCAACCTTCCGTCAAACTAATGAAGTCATATCTACAAGACTCCATGTCGTTATTAACATTTTTAAATAATTTTAAATGGAAACCAAATTTTATGCTAGTTACCTGTGACGTACAGTCTCTTTATACCATCATACCCCATAATATAGGTTGTTAAGCTATTAAAGACACCCTAATTAAAGAAGGTAAAATTCACGACACACAGATTAATTTGATATTAGAGGGTATTAACATAATTTTAAATAATAACTACTTTTGGTTTTTAAATTCTTTTTATCTCCAACCAGGTTTGCCGCCAGTTATGCCAACTTGTTTATGGCTGACTGGGAATCTCAAACCATTTTTGGGAACCATGATTGGAAGGCAAACCTGGTCTCATATTTTAGGTATATTGACGATCTCTTTTTTATTTGGGAAGGTTCAGAGGATAGCTTCATTAACTTCATTGACAATCTGAACACTAACAATAGAGGCACTATTTTAACATACGAATATAGTAAGGAACAGATTGATTTTTTAGATTTGAATATATTTATATTTAAATTGGACAATTACATACAAAAATGTTTTTTTTTAAAGTCTGTGTAAACACTGCGATAGACAAATCACGCTGCCATTATAAACCCTGGCTTGATAGTGCCCCAAAAAGCCAATTTCTACATCTCTGTAGAAATTGTTCCGCACTGATTGATTTTAAGTTGAATTTAAAAAAAACTAATTTGTCGAAAAAAACTACTCTGAAACAGACCTAAAAAATACTATTGATACAATTAAACAAAAGGATAGAAATGATCTTTTAATATACAAGCCAAAACAAACCAATGAATCTTTATCTCTCCAAATTATTTTTGATTTTAATAATAAAAGTAGAAACATAAAAAAAGATCATAAAGAAACATTGGCACATTTTCAAACAAGATGAGACTCTCAGCCAAATCATACCCGAAAATCCCAAAATAGTATTTAGAGAAGCACTGAATTTTAAATCCATTTTAACTACCAATTTTACTAGAGAAACTCCAAACAAACAAAATCTGTCCTTTTCCCCCCAAACATTAGGTTTTTGCAAATGCAAATTTTGCAAAGTACAGACCCCACGGTACCTTCCAAAGTAACTCAATTCACTTCTAATAGGACAAAAAGGGTTTATAAGATAAAAGATTTCATTAATTGCAATACAAAGAATGTAATATATCTGCTTGAATGCCCCTATGGCTTCCAGTATGTTGGAATGGCTACAAGGTGCTTAAAATTAGATTAAGTGAACAGTGCAGGAATATTAAAAATGGATACTTGAATCATTCAGCATCGAAACATTTTATTACAATAAAGACCCACAACTGTTAAAATGTATAGGTATCAAAACATGTACTATACCCTGGAGAGGTAGGGATATAACAAATATTCTTGGTAAAACAGAAATGGAATGGGTATACAAGCTACAGACCCTTATACCCCATGGCCTATTGCAGATTTTGATTTACATAATTTTCTGTAAAATGTTCATGAAATGTATGCATGTTTACCTCTATCATCTGCTATTTTTATTGTTTTATTGTTCTAGTTATTTAGTGTTTTAATTGTTTTATCTCTATCATCTGCTTTTTTTTTGGTTTTATTTATTTTTATTTTACCTTGTTATATTCCTTTATTAATTATAGCCCTCACATATATTTATAACCATTCATATATGTAATCCTCATAAATGTTATTTGTTATCATTTGCTAATAAAGAGAGGAAAAAAAATAGTCACATGATCACAATAAATCACTTAAATTAAATACCTAAGTACTACAACTACTCTGTTTACTACCTATATACCGGTATGTTTTAGCCTATTTTAAGTTGTATTTCACTATGTGTACTGTGATTGGCTGTTCTTAGTTTTGGCGCCAAATTTAATAATTTGTCTCCCTATTTAACCTCATACAGCCACGTATTATGTGTTATTCCATTTTGATAAAGCCCTGAGGTGAAACGCGTTTGTGGATTTTTTAATTGTGTATTGTAATAAAGATTTTTTGGCTTACTTCCCTGGTGCCTTTTTTATACACTTGATTTTTAACTGGCATTTTTATTATCCTGCACTCCAAGAAATCCCAGAAGGAAGAAACCCACGCTCTTCACACTAGAGCTAGCTATAGCTCTACTAAATGTGAGCTTATTCCCATTTATTCCATCTATATACATATTGGTTCTTTTTATCTGTTTTTTGTCTTTCATATGAGTAGATTCATATGGAAAAAGACACTGAGTAAATTACTTATGTTTAAGCACCTTATTCTATATTTGATCTGAGTAAGATCCTTTTTATTGGACTTTTTTTTACTGATATTTGAATTTTTTACTTATTTTATGTGTTGTGATTTTTACTTATTTTATGTTGTGATTTTCACTGATCATTATATTTTGTTATAGAAATTGGCGCAGCCCATATCCCTATTTTTCCCACTATCTTTGTTTCCGAAGGGTTTGGAGGGATCTCCCTTCTAGGGTCGCTGCCCAACTGTTAATTAGCACTTACTCTCTTTTTTTCTCTTGTCTGCTTCCTTTGCAAGCTCTTCCCTTCTAACCTCGCCCAGACTTTCTGAGGCTATCCAATCACAGACTTCCCAATGCAGCTCAATGGGAAGTCTTTGTAAGGCAGGTGCTCTGGGAAATTGCTGCCTCTTGAGGTCAGCTGCATTGAGCTAACGAAACCAGGAAGTAACATTACCTATTGTCTGCTTGAAAGCCAAGGGGGTGTTTCTGTTGAGATCTGCACTTTTTGCAAAATGAAAAAAAGAGGACACACTCTTCATACATAAAGCTTTTCAGCAAGCTAAAGTTGTTTAGGGGTCTGGAGTGACCCTTTAAGTGACCTTCGAGTGGTAGCACATGCTTGCCAAACTGATTATCAAAGTGGTTTGCCTAGCAATCTATACACATTACAATTGCATTAGTCATTATCTTTGGGAAATGCAGTGATCTGTAATTGGGTAAGTACATGCTCTTAACACGAGGTCACTTAAATGGCAATTTGCAGGGAGATAACTCTGAGGGACAGTATTTTTCTATTAGAGCTATAAAGTTAACTCCTGGCGGGGGAATGGGGGATTGTTAAACACGTGACTCCATATTTATCAAGTAGATTGTGTACTATTAAAGTGTGGGTTGGGGTCCCATTTACTGTGGCTTATGAACGTGGCAACTCTGTCCTTCGTTAGAGTATTAAGGGGATGTCCACTCTTTCTGGCGATATTACTACCAACCATGCTTCTTAAGGTAATGGTATGCCAGGGGCATGCCCAGTAACTAATACCAGATGTCTAGTAAAAATTAAAAGGACCAATGTCAGTCTATTTGTTGATAACATTCTGATTTAGAATATTACTTACATTTAACAAAAAATATTCATCATGGGGGGTATGAAGAAGGATGGTGGGGAGCCGATGATTATAGATTATAATGATCCCTCCACATAACCTTAAATTGTTATGTCCATGTTTGGACCATGTTTTTGGGAAGAATATAAAGTTTCAATGTAACAGTTGCTTTAACTGAATATAGCAAGAAACGGCATCGGGTCACTGGGAAACAGCTAAGATGGCCGTCCAGCGAGGGCCCCACAAACCAAGCATACGCACTCAACCAACCTCGAACCCCCTGGGGGAATTCGACCGATTCTGCGCGAGCCTCTGGACCTTGCTGAGCGACCGTGGAATAACTTACCGTCTGGCGGTGAAACTAGTGGCCACATGGATGCGTCCAGTGACCCGGCGGCGCCATTATAGGCATCCACCACAAGCAACCAGAACGGCAGCCAGACCCTGCAAATCCCGACGAGCCCAAAGGTGCAAAACACCACCAAGCAGCAGGAGAAAGCACACACTCACAAGAACGAGACTACCAAAGCAGCCTCCCACATAAGCTATTCACCGGCGACGGGAAGCGGCGTCCAGCAAAGCTCACCTCCATGCCTCCAAGTCACAGCTGCAAACCGGGGAGCTGCATGGCTGAACACCCCACTGAACACCACTGGAGCTGGACCCCGGGGCGGACGCCTTCAAGGAGACCAACGTTGACAGCAAGAGACACGTTCATGCACTGGGCATCGGATGAAGAGCCTGCCTCTGTGCCTCTCAAGTAATCATGGCACACTTGCATCTGGAGGGCACGTTCACAGCCGGCAACAACCATCAACATATGGACTACCCACGACTAGTAAATATAACTAGCACTGCATGGACTAAGTGTTTAAGCGGACAATGCTGGCAAACTTATAGCCTAGGTACACAGAGATGCCGTGAAGTATGCCACAGACTACCTAGTTATTTTTTTTTTTGTTTAGCTCAGGGCCAGATAGTCACTTTTATGTCCACATGTAGTTAAGATACAGTAGATTAGCATGTTACCACATACCCAGCAGCAAAATAGTCTAAACGAAATAGCTTGAGCTACGAATTAGTATCTTAAAACAACATCTATTGCACTGTTCCAAGCGATGCCTCAATATTGTTTTAATGATGTTTTATAATAGCAAAAGCGAGAACTACACTGTTGAATTGATAATTGTAATAACCTAAAATTTGTGCCTGACTAGCATATGTCACAACCTGTATAGCAAATGTTTTCCAACCTATCCTGATGCCGCTGTTGTGGCGCACCAGGGCTACTTGTTACTATTGTGCACAACAAAAATAAAGAATTAAAAAAAAAAAAAAATATAGCAAGAAACATTTATGTGTATATTCTTTTACAGTGGGGTGTAAGGATTTAAACAATAGTTTTATTAAAACAAGGTGGGGTATATAGGAACTCAGCAGAGACGAAAAGATGGTACCAGAGTCTTGGACACCCAGGGAGTGGGTGAAATAATTTACTGAGGACTACTGGACTATCCATCCCTTGCTCCTAAATGAAGAACAGGATATACTTTTTTTTTTTTTTTTTTTCAAAAATAAGAGCAGAGAGGTGAGTCTGGGTCTTAATGATGAATAAACAGGTAAAATAAACTATTTCTTAGCAATAGGTCAAAACAAGGCACATTTTGAAATATCAAATATATCTACTTATACCTGATTTTGATACAGCGTTCTATGCTCTAAACAGAGATTTCTATCTATACTAGCCAGAATGAATGTAATAGTGATTTGTATTTTGAATAGCCCATGGTCAACATAGATTGGAATGATGCATGCTAAGGGTTTATATTGTAAATGCATGTAGGAAAAATAAAACCAGCTGAAAGACTTTGAAAAAAGCACATGAATTAATCCAGTTTAACAGCAGTCTTTATACTTACATTTATGTAACTAACATTTAGCTCTTTTGCAGTATATCCTCTCTGAAGGTTACGTCTGGCATAAACATCATAATCTCGTACAATTCTAGTGATTATGTCGGATGTAGAGATACCTTCTGTCCTCTGCGTTGGTACAAACATGCCTGTCATGGAAAATCAGATAAAACACTGAATGTCCTCCGTTATTTAGGCTCTAGTTGAAATGTGCTGTTTTATAATCTTCAGACATCCTTTGATGTATATCTGACTGTTTAATGCATGTGGTATAAAAAGATATAGTAAAATGTAGAACTGCAGTAAATTGTCAAACAGTAGCTGTGGATTTTTTAAAGAGCCTATGATTCTCAGGTAACCGCATTTCAATTCAAACCACCTGCTTTAAAAATGTGGTGACTGTTTGAAATTAACATTTTTAAAACTGTAATATAAAAGGCTCATAACATCAGGGGGCACAGAGCAGCGGAAGCATCTGAGTGCTTAATTTCCGTCTGTAAATATTTGGTATTTATGATACTACTTTCTCAGTAACCCTGTACATGAAGCGGATGCAAATGAAAATGCATAGGACTAATCAAATACCTTACCTGCTTCCTTTATATGCTTGTATACATCATCTGAACCAGCAGAAGAGTATGGAATGTCATCATGAGCAACAAAATCAATCTGTAAATATATAGAACCTCGTGTATCACAACATTTTTTGCATTACGGGGTTTGGCACATAGCAATAGGGCTTTCAATGTAGGTGATAAAAACATTGTAGTCTTTGAAGCAGGTGCCTGGTTTTTGATTGGTGCCTGGTGATTTGGTACCCGTGACCCAACACTGGTTTAAAAGTGGGATAAGCTCTAGTAAAGCCGAGGGTATGGGGTCTGTTATTCTATAGTTAGTAACAATAGGGCATTAAATGATAAAATAAAACCTCACCAATGCACCACCTACAAGTGAATGCATGAGAAATAGCTGTCTCCAAATGACAGTCAGAATATGTGGCATGGATATGTATCTTATTAACAATTTTTTATCTACCATGAATGGAGCATACAGATAGGCACTTGGTCTTGCTTAAATGAGGAGTACTGTTTTTCTGTAAAAACTATTTTGGGCATAATTCGAAATTTCTAGTTGCCAGACACTGAGAGGGTGTTGTTTATGAGTGAAAATGTCACAATAATTTTCCATTCACTACATATTTAATTAAGTTGAGACCCTCACGGTTTTTCAGTAACGTGAAAATTGCTAGGAATTCATGGTACAATTCAAATTTAAAGGGACACTATAGTCACCAGTACAACTACAGCTTATTTAGTTGTTCTGGTGTGTATAGTCAGTCCCTGCAGGCATGTTAATGTAAACACTGCCTTTTCTGTGAAAAGGCAGTATTTACATTACAGCCTAGGAACACCTTTAGTGGCCACTCGTCAGTTGGCCACTAGAGGTGCTTCCTGGGTCAGTGCTACCCAGTGACAGTGAGACACTGAACTTTCTTAATAGAGATGCACTGATTCAGTTCTGATGATGTCAGCCAAGGTGGTGGATCGGGGGTGGGCCAGAAGCAAGGCACTGGCAAAAGTTAAGTTGTATTCCTTTAACTTTCCAGACAGGGAGGCTGAGAGCTTAATTAGTGATATTAGAACTATAGTGTCAGGAATACATGTTTGTGTTCCTGCCACGATAGTACCCCTTTAAGGCCATAATAGTCAAACTAAAAATAGAATTGACTTGTGGAATTTTTGTAAAACAGCCCTGCTGCCTGTTTGATGATACCTTTCCGCAACTTTAAATGTTCATTATAAGAACAATTTACATGGATTATCCTATAATACGGAAGTTATGTGTCATGGGAGCAGAAAAGAGGAAACCCATAAAAGGTGGATCTAAAAGGAGTATTACCGAGCCTTAGAGTGGCTGGACTTAACATATTAATATAGCAAGAATCAAGGTCAAAGATACAGAAATACACAAAGTCAAGACAAAACTGGGTCAGGATACCAGAACATACCAGTCAAATACAAAGCCTAGGTCAGAATATCAGAAATCACAAGGTCAATATAAAACCGAATCAGGATACCAGAAATCCCAAGTTCAAATACGAAGCCGAGGTCAAACACAGAAAATCACTAGGGAATCACTAGAAGCACAAAGCCAGGATATATTCAGAAATCACAATAGGGCAAAGAATATGGACCAAAGCATGCCTGCTTACTGATTGGTCCACGTCATCATTGCGAATAAAAATAGATTAGGATCGCAATGATGACGTGGCCACTTTAAGAAGAAGCGTGACATCACACCTATACTCTATAAAAGGAAGTCCAGCGGCGCGCGAGGGAGCTGAACAGGAGGATCAGTGTTCCCTCGCGCGCCTGCAGTGACCGGCCGCCCAGCAGCCCCACTGGACCCCAGGGAATCTCCTCAGCACTCCCAAAGGTAGGGAGGCTCGGGGATGCAATTTAAAAAAAATATATGAGTGTGTGTGTGTATATGTGTGTTAGTGTGTGTGTGAATTATTGTGTGCCAGTGTGTTACTGTGTGTGTGTGTATGTGTCTGTTACTGAGTGTGTTAGTTGTGTGTGTCTGTTATTGAGTGTGTGTCTGCTAGTGTGTCAGTGAGTGTGTTAGTTTTTGTGTGTGTGTGTTAGTGTGTGTGTCAGTGAGTGTGTTACTGTGTGTGTCTGTTACTGTGCATGTTAGTTTGTGTGTGTCTGTTAGTGTGTGTCTGTTAGTGAGTCTGGTGTCTGTTAGTGAGTGTGTGTTTGTCGGTGAGTGTATATGTTTTGTATGTGAGTGTGTATGTATGTCTGTCACTGAGTGTGTGTCTGTAAGTAAATGTGTGTGTCTGTTAGCTAGTGTGTCTGCGTCTGTTCGTGAGAGTGTGTGTGTGTGGTCAAAACCCATTCAGCACTTACCTTTTTCCAGGGCCGGGGATCTTTCTGCCCCTATCCGCCTCTCAGCTCCGAATACGCATGCGCGGCAAGAGCCGGGCGCACATTCAAACCGTTCATAGGAAAGCATTACTCAATGATTTCCTATGGACATCCGGGGTCTTGAGAATCACGGAAGCGCCTCTAGCGGCTGTCAGTGAGACGGCTACTAGAGGCTGGATTAACCCTCAGTGAACAATAGCAGTTTTTCTGAAACTGCTATGTTTTCAGCTGCAGGGTTAAAACTAGAGGGACCTGGCACCCAGACCATTTCATTGAGCTGAAGTGTTCTCAGTGCCTATAGTGGTCCTTTAAGTGTATGTATCTGTATGCAGTGGCATACATACCGTGGTTGCAGGAGTTGCAGCCGTGAGACCCCTGTGACCAGGTACCCGCCGCCATGTGATGCGGCCCCAGTGCGTGCAGAGATAGCGCGGGGGTTGGGCCCACGGATCAATTTTCGCACCGGGGCCCCATGGATCGTGTGTACGCCACTGTACATGCCACATTATGTTTGTATTATTTCTATTCCCTGTAAATATTCTTAGACTATCTCCTGATCCCATGATGGATGTGATGAATCTACCTGATCTTTAATTTCTAAGATATGGCAATGCAATTATATTTGACATATAAAATGCAACACAAATGTATATTTGTATGATGTTGCCAAAACAACTCCCGTACATTGGCGAAGGTGGAAAACAACTGTGGTGGTATTACCTATGCTCTTTCCCCTCCTCCTCCATTTTCATAATAACTTTTCACCTTTTTTTAGTCCTCAAGTTTGGGAGTGGTGCTTACACTCTCAAATTGCTCATGTTCTGTTAATAAGAGTACTATTGTTCATTGGAGTCTGTTATTTTTATTATTCTACAGGCATGATTTAAGCTAATTAACTAATGTATTTATCAGCAATCATTTTACCAAAATAAAAATATTAATTTTATGGAAATATATTTTACCTGTAAAATGCACAATCGTATGGTTTAATATAAGAATTATAGACTGGAAGCTATTTTAAGCAGTATTCACTAAAGTGTGAATTACTGGAAATTCCAACTAGGGCCCAGATTTTATATTTTTGGATAAGCTTTTCAAATGATTTAATATTTTTTTGGATGCACTTTTTAATTGTTTTTTTTTTTATATCAAAAAATATATTTCATGTAAAAAAAAAATCAATCTATAAAAAATAACTAAAGTATTAAAAATGTTAAATATTACTCAGGTTATTAGCGCCTACCTGTTAAATGTTGATCCAAAATAGCCAAATCAGGAAGGTATTCAATGTCAGTTATGTTTTCGGTTTTACCGTTTGTCCTAAATTTCACTTTGAAGTCCTGACAATTCCCACTTTTTAATAACCCTGTGAGTGTTTAAATGCATTTGCCATCATGTACTTGCTTTCTTGTCCATTGTATAGTGTTGGAAAATATAATGGGAAGTGTATAAATAATGTAATAATTATAATAATAATAATGCAGAAAAAAACATAGCAATGTGTTTTACTTTTAAAGGTGCAAAGTAAGACCATGCAGAAAGTGATTAAATATCATATGTGGTACCTTATGTTTTTCTAAGAACTCTGGAGTTAAGGTCCATGGGGCATCAGTGATAACTTCATCCACATAACGGCAGTGGCGCAGAGCTTCGTATCTCTCACTTTCATTCATCACCGTGAATCCTTTGTACTTGTGTGTTAGTTCATCACTGCAAACTGACATATACTATGAGTACACTCATACTGTTATATTATTTCCTTTCCATTAACTCACAATAAAAAAAAGCATTTTTTCAATATGATCACAATCCAAAAATATTTGTTTTTGCTGGTAATCATAATCAACTTGGAACCAGGCTTAACTTTTGTCACTGCCAATCACACAATCTCAGTATTAACATGCTGGGTTTGCAAGGTTAAGTACAAGCCCAAAGTCATAACATATTGGTAATATCTGAGCTTTGTTTTAATTAAGGTGGAAGGAGTGTCCGATTTGTTTAAAATATTTCGTTATTGATACAGCATATGTATGCGAAGCAGTTTCCTGCGCAGAGGAAATATGAAATAGGAAATATGAATTTGAATTCAACATTACGGTATGCATTTAAAACTTATCGGGGTCAAGCCGAGTTGTCTTCATCATTATTTTCTGGCTTTCTACTGTCATTTGTCCATGTGTTGTCGTGTTTTCCCGTGGTGAGGCGAGATAGTGTGGTTGTGGTCGTTGGGGCCTAACCGAAGTTTCCGGTTTCACTTCTTACTTGGGTTTGCTGGTTGCTGCTCAATGCCTCCACCACAATCTCATGAGAACCAGAAGTTCCTCAGCTGGAACATATGAACTCTGTTCGCTTTTCTGAGGATTAGCTAATTGGATTAGAGCGACTAGCTGACACAGACGTTATGGTACTTAGAGTGCTCCTTTAACGTTTTATAGTGCATTAGTGATGATAATACGGGAAATGTGTGACATCAAACCTGTTGTAATCTGAATGGACCCTGATAACTGTGGGTTTCTTTATGCATTTTCAAAGAGGATATCTAGACTATAATGTACATGGGTATTTGTTGTTAGGGTTTTTTTTTTAATAAAGTTATATTAGTATAACAAAGTTATATTAGGATAACAGTATAACTATTCTTAGTTATCAACAGTAAACCTTTGGTGAAATGACTAGGAAACTGGATGGAATAATAAATCTGTCTAAACATCAACTCTCTCCATATGAATGTAGAGTATTAGATAAAGGGCTTAAATTTGCCCCTAGCCGTAAATTTGACTCTTTCTCTGCATATGTAGACATGTTGAAATTTTCGAGGGGATTAACATTAAAGAGGTTTTTTTATTTAAACAAATGTAAAGAAAAGGTGGTAGATAATACTCATACCACTTTGAAAAATAAATCTAATTTCTATCCTAGGAATTATAGGACTAGCGCTATTGATATTTTTGAGAAATCAGTAATAGAGGATTTCGAGAAATTAGAGAAAAGCACTAAGAATAGAAGGAATAATCTCAATAAAGAAGAAAGAGAAGCTTTACAACATTTAAGAAGCAATAAAACTATCATCATAAAACCAGCGGATAAAGGGGGAAGTATAGTAGTGCAAGATTCAGAGATGTACATAAAGGAGTGTTATAGACAGCTTCATGATAAAAATGTTTATAAAACCTTAGAAAAAGATCCCATAGAGGAAATAAAGAAATCTTTGTATGAACTTTTGGACAGGGGAAAGGATGATGGCATTCTGAACGAGGACGAATATAAATTTTTACATACTGATTTTCCGAGAATGCCAGTCTTCTATACCCTGCCCAAGGTTCATAAGGATAAAACGAATCCTCCCGGGAGACCTATAGTCTCAGGGATACTTTCGATTTCAGCGAATCTCTCCAAATATGTAGATACATGGTTGCAGGATTTAGTTAAAGTCATACCCTCTTATTTAAAAGATACATTAGATGTTATCAATTTTTTAAATAATATTAAATGGAAGAGTTCATATATATTGGTAACAAGTGATGTATCTTCGTTATACACCTCTATTCCCCATGTACAAGGTTGTCAAGTTATAGAAGAATGCCTTAACAAATCTAAGAAGTTCTCAAATGAACATATAGACTTTTTAATTAAAAGTATTAACTGGATTTTAAATAATAATTATTTTTTATTTAATTCTCATTTTTACTTACAGTGCCAGGGAACTGCTATGGGGACCAGGTTTGCCCCCAGTTACGCGAATTTATATATGTCAGGTTGGGAAGATAAATATATATACGATAGCCCGGAATGGGGGTCAATCCTGGTCTCATACCATAGATATATAGACGATTTAATTTTTATATGGGATGGATATGAAGAAGATCTTAAGGCATTTTTAGAAAGATTAAATAATAATAATTGGGGTATAGTTTTAACTAGTGTTTTTAGTAAGTCTAATATTAATTATTTAGATTTAGAAATATATATAGAAAAGGGTGAGATTAAAACAAAAAATTTTTTTAAAAAAGTAGATGCCAACAATTACGTTCTATATAATAGTGGCCACTATACTCCTTGGCTTAACAATATTCCTAAGGGCCAATTACAAAGAATTAGGAGGAATTGTACAGACAAGGATAAATTTGAGGAACAAGCCAAGACAATTTTAGATAGGTTTAAGCAAAAAAAGTATCCACAACAGATTTTAGAAAAAGCGTATAATGAAACAATAAATTTAGAACCTAATCAGTTATTAAGTAATCATAAGGATGTAGGAAATTCAAACAAAGAAAGTGGAATAATATTACCCTTGGTTTTTGATTTTAATCAAGAGTGCAATAGAATGAAATCAATAGTAAATAAACACTGGCATATTTTAAAGAAAGATAATGAACTCAGCAAAATTATTCCAGAGAAACCTTTTATTACATTTAGAGGAGCACCAAATTTTAAACGTATTTTGACTTTTAATCATCCTAAAAAAGAAATTCCGAAAACTTTTTTAGATAATAATAAAAAAGGATTTTATTCTTGTAATAAGTGTGCAGGATGTAGGTGCAGTAAAAATGCTACTCTGAAGGGGGTTAGTAAATTTAAAAATAGGGAAGATGCAGAGTTTTCTATTGAAAATTTTATTACGTGTTTTAGTAAAAATGTAATTTATTTATTAATATGCCCATGTGGATTACAGTATGTGGGACGGACAATTCGCCCACTACATAAAAGAATATATGAGCATGTAAATAATATTACTAAGGGTTACGATAATCATAGTGTTTCAGCCCATTTTAAAAAATACCACAATAAAGACCCTAGGGGTCTGGCATTCTTAGGTATAGAGATAGTGAAAAAATCATGGAGAGGGGGTAATCATATCATTGACATAGGCAAAAAAGAAATGAAATGGGTCCATAGGCTAAAAACTTTAGAACCTAGGGGGCTCAATATAGAATTTGATTTATTTAATTTTTTAGGTTAATACTGATGTGTTTTTTTAGTATAATTAAATATGTTCCTATTCCTCATAATGTATAATATTTTTCTCTTTTTATATTTAGATTAGGAGGAGGTGCTATATTGTTATGTCATTAGCATGTATTTTTAAATATGTATTTATGTATTTTTAAGCATGTTTCTTTAAATGTGTTTGTTTAAACAATTCTCTTAAGGTAATGATGGTTTTAAGTATGTCTTCTTAAATATGTCTCTTGAAATAAGTTTCTTTGGGAAATTATATGTTTCAATGTTTTTATATATATATGTGTTTAAATAATGCAAGTATTTAAATTATGATGTTTTTCGAATAAAGTAATATTGCTTTTTTTGTGTATATATATGCAATTGATTTGATTGATGCCAGCAACAAAATAACAGACTTTATATGGCAGTCACCTGAATGTACTCATTATGATGGGTATATAAGAACTGTAAGGACATGGATGGGCAGATCTGATGAAGCCGTGAATACGGCGAAACGCGTCATCACGTTAAGTTACGCACCTGACGTCACGCACCCGAGAAAGCTCCTCCCCCTGGAAGTTTGAGGAAACAGACGGCCAACAGACGGCAATTACGGCGGCGAAACCGCAGAGGGACAGGCCGACACCCTTATGCTGTATGCTACCGAAGGCTCTGTAACTGAATACTAAGTGTGGAGGAAGGTGATATATTGGTGCTGTGCTGGGCAATAAAGATTTTGGAATATATTTTTTTCGTCTATGCAGTCCTACATTTGAAGAAGCTGTTAAAGCTAGAGCAGGCTTATTCTGCTCTACTTTTGTGAGTGCAATATTTGGCATTTATTATCCATACTACCATTTTAATACGGTTTCACACTATTGTTTTTTTTTATGTCTCTTTTCCTTTTTATGTATATTTGGAGTCGAGAGGCCATATGTATGTATAATATTTTATATTGATATTTTACACTTTAAGTGCACTTTGTATCACTTTGCACTTTATCAATTTGTTTGCACTTAGTTGCACTTTATACATTTTTGGGTCTTAAAGACACAGCGCACCTTACTATTTTTAAGGTGGAAGGAGTGTCCGATTTGTTTAAAATATTTCGTTATTGATACAGCATATGTATGCGAAGCAGTTTCCTGCGCAGAGGAAATATGAAATAGGAAATATGAATTTGAATTCAACATTACGGTATGCATTTAAAACTTATCGGGGTCAAGCCGAGTTGTCTTCATCATTATTTTCTGGCTTTCTACTGTCATTTGTCCATGTGTTGTCGTGTTTTCCCGTGGTGAGGCGAGATAGTGTGGTTGTGGTCGTTGGGGCCTAACCGAAGTTTCCGGTTTCACTTCTTACTTGGGTTTGCTGGTTGCTGCTCAATGCCTCCACCACAATCTCATGAGAACCAGAAGTTCCTCAGCTGGAACATATGAACTCTGTTCGCTTTTCTGAGGATTAGCTAATTGGATTAGAGCGACTAGCTGACACAGACGTTATGGTACTTAGAGTGCTCCTTTAACGTTTTATAGTGCATTAGTGATGATAATACGGGAAATGTGTGACATCAAACCTGTTGTAATCTGAATGGACCCTGATAACTGTGGGTTTCTTTATGCATTTTCAAAGAGGATATCTAGACTATAATGTACATGGGTATTTGTTGTTAGGGTTTTTTTTTTAATAAAGTTATATTAGTATAACAAAGTTATATTAGGATAACAGTATAACTATTCTTAGTTATCAACAGTAAACCTTTGGTGAAATGACTAGGAAACTGGATGGAATAATAAATCTGTCTAAACATCAACTCTCTCCATATGAATGTAGAGTATTAGATAAAGGGCTTAAATTTGCCCCTAGCCGTAAATTTGACTCTTTCTCTGCATATGTAGACATGTTGAAATTTTCGAGGGGATTAACATTAAAGAGGTTTTTTTATTTAAACAAATGTAAAGAAAAGGTGGTAGATAATACTCATACCACTTTGAAAAATAAATCTAATTTCTATCCTAGGAATTATAGGACTAGCGCTATTGATATTTTTGAGAAATCAGTAATAGAGGATTTCGAGAAATTAGAGAAAAGCACTAAGAATAGAAGGAATAATCTCAATAAAGAAGAAAGAGAAGCTTTACAACATTTAAGAAGCAATAAAACTATCATCATAAAACCAGCGGATAAAGGGGGAAGTATAGTAGTGCAAGATTCAGAGATGTACATAAAGGAGTGTTATAGACAGCTTCATGATAAAAATGTTTATAAAACCTTAGAAAAAGATCCCATAGAGGAAATAAAGAAATCTTTGTATGAACTTTTGGACAGGGGAAAGGATGATGGCATTCTGAACGAGGACGAATATAAATTTTTACATACTGATTTTCCGAGAATGCCAGTCTTCTATACCCTGCCCAAGGTTCATAAGGATAAAACGAATCCTCCCGGGAGACCTATAGTCTCAGGGATACTTTCGATTTCAGCGAATCTCTCCAAATATGTAGATACATGGTTGCAGGATTTAGTTAAAGTCATACCCTCTTATTTAAAAGATACATTAGATGTTATCAATTTTTTAAATAATATTAAATGGAAGAGTTCATATATATTGGTAACAAGTGATGTATCTTCGTTATACACCTCTATTCCCCATGTACAAGGTTGTCAAGTTATAGAAGAATGCCTTAACAAATCTAAGAAGTTCTCAAATGAACATATAGACTTTTTAATTAAAAGTATTAACTGGATTTTAAATAATAATTATTTTTTATTTAATTCTCATTTTTACTTACAGTGCCAGGGAACTGCTATGGGGACCAGGTTTGCCCCCAGTTACGCGAATTTATATATGTCAGGTTGGGAAGATAAATATATATACGATAGCCCGGAATGGGGGTCAATCCTGGTCTCATACCATAGATATATAGACGATTTAATTTTTATATGGGATGGATATGAAGAAGATCTTAAGGCATTTTTAGAAAGATTAAATAATAATAATTGGGGTATAGTTTTAACTAGTGTTTTTAGTAAGTCTAATATTAATTATTTAGATTTAGAAATATATATAGAAAAGGGTGAGATTAAAACAAAAAATTTTTTTAAAAAAGTAGATGCCAACAATTACGTTCTATATAATAGTGGCCACTATACTCCTTGGCTTAACAATATTCCTAAGGGCCAATTACAAAGAATTAGGAGGAATTGTACAGACAAGGATAAATTTGAGGAACAAGCCAAGACAATTTTAGATAGGTTTAAGCAAAAAAAGTATCCACAACAGATTTTAGAAAAAGCGTATAATGAAACAATAAATTTAGAACCTAATCAGTTATTAAGTAATCATAAGGATGTAGGAAATTCAAACAAAGAAAGTGGAATAATATTACCCTTGGTTTTTGATTTTAATCAAGAGTGCAATAGAATGAAATCAATAGTAAATAAACACTGGCATATTTTAAAGAAAGATAATGAACTCAGCAAAATTATTCCAGAGAAACCTTTTATTACATTTAGAGGAGCACCAAATTTTAAACGTATTTTGACTTTTAATCATCCTAAAAAAGAAATTCCGAAAACTTTTTTAGATAATAATAAAAAAGGATTTTATTCTTGTAATAAGTGTGCAGGATGTAGGTGCAGTAAAAATGCTACTCTGAAGGGGGTTAGTAAATTTAAAAATAGGGAAGATGCAGAGTTTTCTATTGAAAATTTTATTACGTGTTTTAGTAAAAATGTAATTTATTTATTAATATGCCCATGTGGATTACAGTATGTGGGACGGACAATTCGCCCACTACATAAAAGAATATATGAGCATGTAAATAATATTACTAAGGGTTACGATAATCATAGTGTTTCAGCCCATTTTAAAAAATACCACAATAAAGACCCTAGGGGTCTGGCATTCTTAGGTATAGAGATAGTGAAAAAATCATGGAGAGGGGGTAATCATATCATTGACATAGGCAAAAAAGAAATGAAATGGGTCCATAGGCTAAAAACTTTAGAACCTAGGGGGCTCAATATAGAATTTGATTTATTTAATTTTTTAGGTTAATACTGATGTGTTTTTTTAGTATAATTAAATATGTTCCTATTCCTCATAATGTATAATATTTTTCTCTTTTTATATTTAGATTAGGAGGAGGTGCTATATTGTTATGTCATTAGCATGTATTTTTAAATATGTATTTATGTATTTTTAAGCATGTTTCTTTAAATGTGTCTGTTTAAACAATTCTCTTAAGGTAATGATGGTTTTAAGTATGTCTTCTTAAATATGTCTCTTGAAATAAGTTTCTTTGGGAAATTATATGTTTCAATGTTTTTATATATATATGTGTTTAAATAATGCAAGTATTTAAATTATGATGTTTTTCGAATAAAGTAATATTGCTTTTTTTGTGTATATATATGCAATTGATTTGATTGATGCCAGCAACAAAATAACAGACTTTATATGGCAGTCACCTGAATGTACTCATTATGATGGGTATATAAGAACTGTAAGGACATGGATGGGCAGATCTGATGAAGCCGTGAATACGGCGAAACGCGTCATCACGTTAAGTTACGCACCTGACGTCACGCACCCGAGAAAGCTCCTCCCCCTGGAAGTTTGAGGAAACAGACGGCCAACAGACGGCAATTACGGCGGCGAAACCGCAGAGGGACAGGTCGACACCCTTATGCTGTATGCTACCGAAGGCTCTGTAACTGAATACTAAGTGTGGAGGAAGGTGATATATTGGTGCTGTGCTGGGCAATAAAGATTTTGGAATATATTTTTTTCGTCTATGCAGTCCTACATTTGAAGAAGCTGTTAAAGCTAGAGCAGGCTTATTCTGCTCTACTTTTGTGAGTGCAATATTTGGCATTTATTATCCATACTACCATTTTAATACGGTTTCACACTATTGTTTTTTTTTATGTCTCTTTTCCTTTTTATGTATATTTGGAGTCGAGAGGCCATATGTATGTATAATATTTTATATTGATATTTTACACTTTAAGTGCACTTTGTATCACTTTGCACTTTATCAATTTGTTTGCACTTAGTTGCACTTTATACATTTTTGGGTCTTAAAGACACAGCGCACCTTACTATTTTTAAGGTGGAAGGAGTGTCCGATTTGTTTAAAATATTTCGTTATTGATACAGCATATGTATGCGAAGCAGTTTCCTGCGCAGAGGAAATATGAAATAGGAAATATGAATTTGAATTCAACATTACGGTATGCATTTAAAACTTATCGGGGTCAAGCCGAGTTGTCTTCATCATTATTTTCTGGCTTTCTACTGTCATTTGTCCATGTGTTGTCGTGTTTTCCCGTGGTGAGGCGAGATAGTGTGGTTGTGGTCGTTGGGGCCTAACCGAAGTTTCCGGTTTCACTTCTTACTTGGGTTTGCTGGTTGCTGCTCAATGCCTCCACCACAATCTCATGAGAACCAGAAGTTCCTCAGCTGGAACATATGAACTCTGTTCGCTTTTCTGAGGATTAGCTAATTGGATTAGAGCGACTAGCTGACACAGACGTTATGGTACTTAGAGTGCTCCTTTAACGTTTTATAGTGCATTAGTGATGATAATACGGGAAATGTGTGACATCAAACCTGTTGTAATCTGAATGGACCCTGATAACTGTGGGTTTCTTTATGCATTTTCAAAGAGGATATCTAGACTATAATGTACATGGGTATTTGTTGTTAGGGTTTTTTTTTTAATAAAGTTATATTAGTATAACAAAGTTATATTAGGATAACAGTATAACTATTCTTAGTTATCAACAGTAAACCTTTGGTGAAATGACTTCCAAACATCATTCAATATTGTAAGGTGAATGTAGTGTTTGTGGTTTATCAAGCTGCACAAAAAGACTGAATAGATGTGATTGTGTTAACTTTGTGATACTTATCAAATGATATATTGTGATTGAGGCCTTGTTTTGTTATTGAGGCCTCTCTCCTGCTTACCTTTCCCCACTGACAATGAGGAAGCTTTTAAAATGATCTGCATTTTTTTTTTTTTTTATCTCCCTGCTGGCTCAATGAGGACTCCCTCGCAACTACAATTGAAGCTCCAGGCCCTGTAATTGGGAGAGTCAATATTATTTTTTGCCAGTACAAGTAGGGCATCCTCACACCTGGAGCCATAGCTCCAGGCCCTGCACTTTAGAGAGTTAATATTATAGTTTACCGGCTCTAGAAGTGCACCCTTTAAAGCTAGAACCAGAGTCACAGGTGCTGCAATTTAGAGAGTCAATATTATTTTCTGCCAGCTTTTTTTTTTATCTCCCTGCTGGCTCAATGAGGACTCCCTCTCAACTACAATTGAAGCTCCAGACACTGCACTTTGGAGAGTAAATATAATTTTTTTTTCATATTTCTTTATCATCAATCTATATCTTTAATTTTATATTTTACCTCCAACTAGTAGGTAGCTGTTAGGGAACAAGTTTTTGGCTTGCATGAGTGCTCTTGCGTGACCTGAGTGGAAAAGATCAAATATTCCATCTGCGTACACTCTGACAGGTCGATCAACTGAAAGAAAAAATAGCATAAGGTATTCAATTATTTATTGATATATCAACATATTTTTGTAATTCAGCACACACAAAAAAATAACAAAGAAAATTGTATTGTTTTACTTCCTTGTCTATAAAGCGTTCCACAGAGTCAAGATAAATAAAAAGATATCTTGTTTATTAAAAATAACACAAGTAATATAAAGTATTATAAGGCAGTTCAGATTGAGAGGGGAAATATACTTAAGTGAATGATTACATGGAAAAACAATTATAAATAAAGAGTTTACATATATTTATTATTGACCAAATCAACTCAAATTTAATATTCAAAATGCCCACCTTCTTTACAACAATGGATAAGATTAAGAAATTTAGCAATCAATTGTCCTATTTTTAATCCCCTGTTCCATTCCGCAAATTCCTTTATCTCCAGCTCTTTATTATGAGGAATAACTTGCAATTCCATTTCCTTCCATTTTCATAAAAAGATTTTTTGAAATATTTCTAAAATGTGATTGAATTATTGGTAGACACATGATAAATATTAAAATGCCTAAAATGTCAAATATACCTTATATAACTATTTCTAACCTGCTGCAAAACCTTGTGTTAATAGAGACTTTACTATCACAGCTTTTTTTATGAAATAGAAAGGAGGAGGCATTAGAATAATTATGACAACTACCTTAAAATTGTAATGGATGGAACACTAGAGATGATGAGAAAGTAGCTAACAGCTCCTCCACCCCCCTTTCTCCTCCTCCCACACAGACACACACACACACACACACACGAACATGCACGCACATACATGCACTGTTCAATCTTACAGAAAGCTCCAGTATAAAGAATGAACAGTCTGTGTACACTATTTTGATTTGATATAACGTAGTGGGCCATTGAAGTATAATCATTGAAAAGAAAATTGAAGGATCCACTGTGTCGTGCTAAAGAAAGGACATTTTCATGGTACAATACAGTTTGTATTATCACAAAGACTGAGCTATTCTTCTTTTATATGCCTGCAATTTGTTTGTCACCTAACAAAGAAATTCCTTTCTAAATAAGAACTTGAGCAACATGTTAGCGTACTATTCTCCCCACTGCCTGCCATCTTTGTTCTCTTGTTCTCAGCCAGACTGATTCTCTGAACAAAATACAAAATTCTAAATCTTAAACTTTAAAGGAAGTCTCAGAATGGTAAAATGTTTAATGTTCCCTTACATAATATACAAAAGCATATTCAAAAGATTATGTCTGTGTGAGCTTAATTATTTTGTTCTTTTTTCAAAACCTATTTTCATGCTGCATTGGAAAGAAATAGTTTTATTTTTAACACATGATTTTGTTATCTTTTCAGGCAATGCTAATACATTTTCAGAGCAAATGTTAATGTTTAGTACACATTTAAACCTATTATAGGTCACCAATTGAGAATAAGTGTCTATGAACAGAAATAAGTGCTAGAATGCTAACAAATATGTTTAGAAACCATACAGATTCCTTCAAGAAGGAAATAGTTCCGTCTAATGTTCGTTTCTGTCCTAACATATTAGAGCAGGGCTTCCCAAACTTTTATGGGCCGAGAACCACTTTTCAAAACAGTAATTTTTCGAGACCCACTTGCTTTTAATGCATATTTTAAAAAGTGAACACCATGGCAATAAGCTTTGGAGGAATACAATTGGCACACCATAGCAATCCGCTTTAGATGCACACAATTGACACACCATGACAATTACTTTTAAAGAAATAAAATTGGCACACCATGGCAAACAGCTTTAGAGGCATACAATTGGCAAACTATAGCAATCCGCTTTAGATGCATACAATTGGCACACCTTGGAATCCGCTTTAGATGCATACAATTGGCACACCTCGGAATCCGCTTTAGATGCATACAATTGGCACACCATGGAAATCCGCTTTATATGCATACAATTGGCACACCTTGGAATCCGCTTTAGATGCATACAATTGGCACACCTTGGAATCTGCTTTAGATGCATACAATTGGCACACCTTGGAATCCGCTTTAGATGCATATAATTGGCACAACTTGGAATCCGCTTTAGATGCATACAATTGGCATACCTTGGAATCCGCTTTAGATGCATACAATTGGCATACCGTGGAAATCCGCTTTAGATGCATACAATTGGCACACTGTGGAAATCCGCTTTAGATACATACAGTTGGCATACCATGGCAATCAGCTTTACAGGCATACAATTGGAACATTATGGCAGCTTTAGATGCATAAAATTGGCACACTATAGCAATCTGCTTTAGATGCATACAATTGGCACACCGTGGCAATCAGTTTTAGAGGCACAAAATTGGCACACATTGGCAATCCGCTTTAGATGTATACAATTGGCATACCATGGCAATCAGCTTTAGATGCATAAAATTGGTACATCATGGCAATCAGTTTTAGAGGCATACAATTGGAACATCATGGCAGCTTTAAATACATAAACTTGGCACACCATGGCAATCAACTTTAGATGTATAAACTTGGTATATCATGGCAATCACTTTTAGATGCATAGACTTGGCACATCATGGTAATCTGCATTAGATGTATACAATTGGCAGACCATGGCAATCAGTTTTAAAAGGATATAATTGGCACACCATGGCAATCAGATTTAGATGCATAAAATTGGCATAACATGGCAGTTTTAGAGGCATAATTTTGATATATCATGGCAGTTTTAGAGGCAGAAACTTTGCACATCATGGCAATCAGTTTTAGAGACATACAACTGCTTACTCACAGACTCAGAATCAGAAGTGCTGTGTCCTGCTCTTTCATTCAGGCACCTCACGTTGATTATCCCAGTGGTAGAACTAATGTAGAGAGGACCCTGGTGCAAGTTTGTTTTCTGGGCCCCCCTCTAGTGAAAGTGTAGCCAAAAGGTAGACCTCCATCTGTCGGAGAACTTCAACAATGCTATGCCAGATGGAGATCTACCATTTGCACATCATTGCAGGGTTATATTTGTGAGCAGTGTTTGAATGTAAGCATGTTTTTGTATTAAGTATATGTGTGCATGTATGGGTGTATTTGTATGTACTGTTGCTATTAGAATGTAGTGGTGTACTTGTTTGTAATGTTTGCTTCTGAATGCAGGGGTGTTTGTAGATCATTTTAGTGTTTTAATGCAGGGGTGTGTTTGTATATAATATTTGCGTTTGATTGCTGTGTGTGTGTAGTGGATGCAGTGTGTGTATATTGTGTTTATAAAATATAAATATACACAATGTGTGTTTGAATGTAAGCATGTTTATTGTATGGAGTATGTGTGCAGTGTATATACACACACACAGACACACAAATACACACATTGACACAGCGATACGCACAATGACACCTAGTTTTCCCCACACAGATACAGACATTCATGTACACAGATACACACAGACACACAAATACACACACACACTGACACAAAAGGACACGCAGAGACAGTAGGTGAGGGTTACAGTGTGGGAGGGAGTGTGTGTACTGGTAACAGTGTGGGGGGCAGTGTGAGGGCAGGGTGAGAAAGGGTTACAGTGGGCAGGCAGGAAGAGAAAGGGTTACAGTGGGCAGGCAGGTGGAGAAAGGGTTTCAGTGCGGGGAGGGGGAAGGGAGAGAAGGGGGTACAGTGTGGGGAGAGGGGCAGGGAGAGAAGGGGATAAAGTGTGGGGAGAGGGGCAGGGAGACAAGGGGTTAGAGGGCAGGGGAGAAGGGGTTACAGTGGGGGTAGGCAGAGAAGGGGTACAGTAGGGTTATGGGGGCAGGGAGGAAGGGGTTATGGGGGCAGGGAGTGAAGGGGTTACAGTGTGGGTGGAGGGGCAGGGTGAAGGGGTTACAGTGGGGGCAGGGAGTGAAGGGGTTACAGGGGGGAGGGGGCAGGGAGTAAAGAGGTTACAGTGTGGGTGGGAGGGGGCAGGGAGTGAAGGGGTTACAGTGGGGGGAGGAGGGCAGGGAGTGAAGGGGATACAAGGGGGTAGGGAGTGAAGGGGATACGGGGGAGCAGGGAGTGAAGGGCCAGAAAGGGTTACAGTGTGGGCAGGAAGCGAAGGGGATACAGGGGGGGGATGGGAGGGTGCAAGGAGAAAAGGGGTTACATGGGGAGGGGGGCAGGGTCTGGGGGCTGTGTCCTACCTGAATTTCCTGGTGGTCCAGTATCTCCCTGGTGGTCCAGTGGATTAACGCTCCGGTCTGCAGCTCCGCCAGGTGCAGAGCTGCAGACTGTGTAATAAAAGTCTCGCGAGCTCCCACAGTGTTGCCATGGTAATGCTCTGGGAGCTCGCAAGACTTCTATCACACGGGCTGCAGACCGGAGGTGCTGGGCAGACTGATTGGAGGGAGCCCGGCAGCATCCAGGGCAAGCCGCAGGGCCCTCTCCTGGTGTCGGGCCCGTGGTCACTGACTAATCAGTCTGCCTGACTCCCCGGCGGCCCTGGATGTGTGGGTCAGCGCAACTGTGAGGAACTGACTCTGCTGGGTTTCGAACCCTGGTTTACATGATGCTAAACCTTTTCATTACCAGTACACCAGCCTGCCTTTTGCAAATTTACCTGAGATCTGATACCATTGCTTGTAGAGTCAAGGTTATCAGTGACAACTCACTTCAGCTGTGTCTAGTCAGGTGTCTGGTTCTTGGCCTATAAAAGCCACTTCCTGTCTCTGTACCTTTGCCAGATTATTGTGGTTCCTGTACTCTCTAATCCAGCGTGTTCCTGTTTCTCCTTCCTGTTGCTGAATTTGGACTGTTTTGACTTTGCTGCTTCTCCTTCCCACTGACCTCGGCTTGCCTGACTACGATTATCATCTTTCTGTTCCAGTCTCCCATCTCTGCTTAAGACCAGAAGGCCACTCAAGGCTCAGGGGCTCAACCACCTGGGTAACGAGTGGCTACCTCTGGCAGAAAACATTGCTGATCTGGCTACTGGACTCCAAAACTTTGTAACATCAATATCATTACAGAATAATCTGGCCCATTCATGGAGACCGTCGGATCAGATTCTGCATTGGCCCAGCAGGTTGCTTTTAATGCAAGAACTATGCAGACCCAGGCACAGACCATTCAAGTGCTGCAGGATCAGGTAGCTGAACTGCAAAATGAAGTTCGATCAATGCATAGTGAACTTACCAGCTACAGGGCACATGATGTTGCGGCTGCTGCTACTACTACTGTTACACCTGCACAAGATGCCCGCTTGCCTCTACCAGAAAAATTTGGAGGAGACCGCAAAAAATTCAGGGGTTTCCTAAATCAATGCCGTTTGCATTTTATGATGTTACCTAACCGTTTTCCATCTGAAAGAGAGAAGGTGGGATTTATTTTTTCCCTCTTCAAAGATGAAGCCCTGGCCTGGGGCTCCCCTTTTCTGGAACAGGACAGTCCAATCTTGGGAAATTTAAAAGACTTTCTTGAGGCCATGTGCCTAGTTTTTGATGATCCCAATCGCTGTGCTACAGCAGAAGCCACTCTCCTTCATTTACATCAAGGGAGGCGCTCTGTGGCTGAATATGCTGCTGAATTCAGACAGTGGGTTACTGATACTACTTGGAACCAATCAGCCCAGAGGTTCCACTTCAGAAGGGGTCTCTCAGAAGCTATAAAAGATGAGCTAGCTCGTGTTGATCTTCCTGTTGAGTTTGATGCATTTGTGCGGTTGGCTATCCGTATTGATCGGAGACTTTCAGAAAGAAGATTGGAAAGACAGGGCTCTTTTAAACCAAGTGCTACTCCTACTTTCTATTCAAGAATTTCTACTCCGACCCCACAAACACCTACAGACTCTGAACCTGAGGCTATGCAAGTAGATCTAATAAGAGGGCCATTATCCAATGAAGAAAAACAGTGGCGACGCACTCACAACTTATGCCTGTATTGTGGTAGTGCAGGGCATTATGCCATCAAGTGCCCTAACAAGTCTAAAAGAACAATAGCTATGACTGCTGAGGGTGCACAGATTCAACACCAATCCCAGATTTCAGACCAACTGGATTCTGTCACACAACCCTTGTTTTCTCTGGCTCAGGGTGAAGAAGGTATGATGACTCAACATCCTCATTTGGTGGTGCCTATCACTTTGCAATATGGTAATAATATAATTTCAACTACAGCTATGATAGATTCCGGAGCAGGCGGAAACTTTATGGACATTAAATTTGCAGCAGGAAATAAAATTCAGTCTATCCCTAAATCTTCACCTGTGTTAATGGAAACAGTAGACGGTTCTCCACTTACGTCAGGCCCGGTTACACATGAGACTGTGCCCTTAAAATTGATTCTGGAAGTGAATCACCATGAGTCTATATCTTTCCACCTAATTTCCTCAACACAGTTTCCAGTGATTTTGGGTATACCCTGGCTTGCTCTGCATAACCCACAGATTGATTGGAAGACTAGAACTTTGTCCTTTCCTTCAGAACACTGCTTAATGAATTGTCAACCCTCTAAGGCGACACCTGTTACCACAACAATTAATGAAATGGTTGCTACAAACTTAACTAAGCTTCCGCTACAATATCGGGATTTTGCAGATGTCTGTGATAAGAAGAATGCTGATCAGCTTCCACCTCACAGGCCTTATGATTGCCCCATAGAGCTGCTACCTGGAGCTGCTATCCCATTTGGCCGTATATACTCCCTTTCTGAGCCTGAATTGAAAGCACTTCGTGAATACATACAAGAAAATCTTGCCAAAGGCTTTATTCGACCATCCACTTCTCCAGCAGGAGCTCCTATATTCTTTGTAGAAAAGAAAGATGGCAGTCTACGGCCATGTGTTGATTACAGGGACATTAATAAAATCACTGTTAAAAACCGTTATCCCTTGCCTCTCATTCCTGAACTTCTGGAGAGACTTCGTTCAGCTAAAATATTTACGAAGCTTGATCTACGGGGGGCATATAATCTGGTTCGCATAAGACCAAATGATGAATGGAAAACAGCTTTCAGAACCAGGTACGGACATTACGAATATCTAGTAATGCCATTTGGGCTTTGTAATGCCCCTGCAACTTTTCAGCATCTAATCAATGATGTACTACGGGATCTCCTGGATCAGTTTGTTGTGGCATATTTGGATGATATCCTGATATTTTCTGATGATCTTGAAAATCACAGAAAACAGGTCTGCATTGTTCTTGAGCGCCTTCGTACCCACCACCTATACATTAAACTGGAAAAATGTGAGTTTGAACAAACAGAAATTCAGTTCCTGGGGTATGTAATAACTCCTAAAGGTTTAAGTATGGACGCAAGTAAAATTAAAGCTGTGCTGGACTGGCCCATCCCCAAGAATGAAAAAGATATACAGAGATTTGTGGGGTTTGCCAATTTTTACAGGCGTTTCATTAAGAATTTCTCTGCCGTTATTACACCGATCACTGAACTTACACGTAAAGGGACTCCTTTTCAGTGGTCCAATAAGGCTGACACTGCATTTTCCAGATTAAAGACTCTGTTTACATCTGCCCCTATCTTGGTACATCCTCAGCCAGAATTGCCATTTACTGTAGAGGTAGATGCTTCTGATTCAGCTGTTGGGGCTATACTATCTCAAAGGACTGGACCTAAGATGTTGTTACATCCATGTGCCTTCTATTCCCGCCAGATGTTACCAGCAGAAAGAAATTATGACATAGGGAATAAAGAACTTTTGGCTATAAAAGCTGCCTTCACCGAATGGAGACATCTCTTGGAGGGAGCCACCCATCCAATTACTGTCCTCACAGATCACAAAAATCTGGAATGTATCCAATCCGCTAAGAGACTGTCAGCCAGACAAGCACGCTGGTCCCTATTTTTCTCAAGGTTTAATTTTTTTATTTCATACCGCCCTGGTTCCAGAAATGGCAAGGCGGATGCCTTGTCTAGGATAGCTGACCCCCTCCATACTACAGTAACCAAGGCCACCATCTTGCCAGAGAGCAGATTTTTAGGAGTTACCTTTCCTTCTGATCTAATGTCTCGCATTAAAAAGGGCTACTCTAAAGATCCAGTTTTTCGTGATCCTCCTCGTGATCTTCATATGACCATGCTTAATGGGTTTTGGATTTTTCAACAACGTCTGTTTGTTCCAGAATCAGTGCGACTGGACGTTTTACGCCTCTACCATGACTCTAAACCAGCAGGTCATCCAGGAATCCGAAAGACACAAGAACTACTTACCCGATCCTTTTGGTGGCCTAAATATTATGAGGATGTTAAGAAGTATGTGTCCTCTTGTGATGTATGTGCCAGACATAAGACTCCTCGCTCATCCCCTGTTGGCTTGCTTCAGCCTCTTCCGATTCCTCATCGTCCCTGGGGATCTATATCCATGGACTTTATTGTGGAACTACCTCCCTCTAAGGAACACACTACTATTCTTGTTGTTGTGGACCGGTTAACCAAGATGAGTCATTTCATACCAGCTCGTGGTCTCCCTTCAGCTAAACAGACTGCTGACCTTGTTATTCGGGAAATATTTCGCTTGCATGGAGTGCCTGATGAAGTAATTTCTGACAGGGGAGTGCAGTTTACATCTCATTTTTGGAAATATTTTTGTTCTATTCTAGGTATTAATGTAAATCTGTCTTCAGCTTTTCATCCACAAAGTAATGGACAGACTGAGCGAACCAACCAGACTTTAGAACAATATTTGCGGTGCTATATTAGTTACCTGCAGGATGACTGGCTGGATTTTCTACCCACGGCGGAGTTTGCCTATAACAATGCCCAACACTGCTCCACTTCTCTGAGCCCATTTTTTGCCAATTATGGTTACCATCCAACCTTTCTAGTGAGTCTCCCAATTACTACTCCCATTCCTGCAGTCACTGACCGGCTAACCGCCTTACGAGATTCCCAAGAACTGTTGAAGGAGACTCTTTCGGAGGCTCAGGAATGTTACAAAAGAGCTGCTGATAGGCACAGAAAGGAGGCCCCAGTTTATCATGTTGGTGACAAGGTTTGGCTGTCAACAAAGAATCTTAAGCTTAGGATTCCTTCTCATAAATTGGGTCAAAAGTTCATGGGACCTTTTAAGATAATCGCTCAGATCAATGCAGTCACCTTCCGTCTGCAACTTCCGGATTCCATGAAAATACATCCGGTGTTTCACGTGGCACTGCTTAAACCTTTTCATGAAAATACTTTCCCTGGTCGAGCCTTGCCTGCCCCACCACCAGTCCTCGTGGATGGGGAAGATGAATACGAGGTGGATGGGGAAGATGTGTGTCTTCCGCTCCTCCCGTACCTTAATGATCTCTTCCACTTCCCCCACCCCTTAGTGTGTGTCTGTTAGAGTGAGTGTGTGTGTGTGTCTGTTAGTGAGTGTGTGTCTGTTAGTGAGTGTGTGTCTGTTAGTGTGTGTATCTGTTAGTGAGCGTGTGTGTGTCTGTTAGAGTGAGCGTGTGTGTGTCTGTTAGTGAGTGTGTCTGTTAGAGTGAGTGTGTGTGTGTCTGTTAGTGAGTGTGTCTGTTAGCGTGTGTCTGTATGCATATCTGTCAGTGAATGTGTGTGTGTGTATTTAGAAGGCGGGGCAGGGGGAAGGGTTGGGTGGGGTTGGCACGGTGCCTGTGTTTTGTCCTGCCTAGGGCAGCACAAAACCAGGATACACCACTGCCATGCACCTTTAGAATTTGTATTATGAGTTGATATTTAGGAAGTCTCACGCTGTCCTGATGATTTGCAAACTGTACTGCAGTTGCCTAAAACAAGGGGGTCTACTGTATCTATTATGTTTTCTGCTATTAGTCAATATATGAGATACATTAAGGAATAAAATCTGACACATATTTGTAAAGGTGCTCTTTTGTTGTGACAGGCTATTTCACAGAGTATGTAGAGCTTGAGCTCTTGAAAAATCTACTGGTGATACATAGGATAATACAGGATATCACTGGGCCTTAAAATGATATGTCTACAGAAGGCAAAACAGTAGGGCCTGCAAGTAGATAGATAAGTCAGAGAACTGCCTGGATTTGAATAGATACACCAGGTACACAAGGAAACAAGCAGAGTCAAGGAGTACAGAAGACAGGATAAATGAAGAATAAAGCTAGTTGAAACAAAAGCGTACAAGGTAAGAATATATAGTGTGCAGTGTCTGCTATTGGCCAGTATCGTTTCTGCCAGAGAGTGCGTGTTCTTTCGTGCACAAACAGTGTGAGCACGTTTAAATCGACGCATGTTAGAGATGGTACTAAGGGTCATAGAGGAATAGCGTTCTGCATCAAAAATTGACTCTGAGCAGGTATGCTTCAGAAGTGGAAGGAGCAGTATGAATGACAGCCCTGATCTGAGTGGCAGGTTATGTGACACTCTTCTCACAATCTTGTGACACATTATTCCAACACTAGATGAAAAATTAAAAATTCAGTATTTCAGGTTTTTTCCAGACATCAGACTATTCCTCAGATGACAGCAATTTATCACCAACTCCAATCTCAGTTTCTCCTCTACATCCAATCCGTATTCTTTTTGCAGAGAAGTTGAGGCCATGGCCATGTCTTAGCATAATGTATTTAATTGGCATATGTCATCTGAGATATAGACACTTTCATATCCAAATAAAATGGTACACTGATAGAGAGGTTAAGGACAATGGGGAACCATGACACATGTTTGGTGGTATGTCCATTATATAAAAGGAACACTCCATGCACTATAACCACTGAAGCCTTCTGTAGAGGTTTTGGTGGCAGGAGTGCTGCTTGAGAATGGTTTGAAAACTTACCTGATGTCCGCCAGGCATTGATGAACTCCTTTCTTGCTAGGGCGGCAGTGGTTATGGTTCTTTGAGTGTTACTTTAATATGATGGAAATTACCACCAGATATGTGCCATGGTTCCACAATACCCATAACCTCTCCATCAATGTGCCATCATATGTTCCTTTGAAAAATCATTTGAAGCCCTTAATTGGTTACTCCCACCATTTTTATATAAGCTTTTTTTTTTTAAATGTAGATTTCCGTATTCAGCATTCGTAATTAGGTACCCTTTCCCCATTATAAACCTGTAAAGTAAGCATAAACTTACCTCAAATCCAGAGCAGGGCAAAGCCTGGCTGATTTTTACACCCTTTTCAACATCACTGCTTGCCTTCCTGTGGTCCAATCAAATGTTTCTAATAGAGAGGCATCTGAATGGACCATTCTCACAGGAAGAGGGTAGCAGGGGATGGATAAGGAAGATAATTAAATAGATCATAATACCTATAGTGAGACAGGGAGGACTAAAATGACAGAGTAAGGGAAGTGAGATTCACGTTTCCCCTTGCAGGACTGCTCTCAACGTTGCCTGCAAGGCTAGAAGCTCATTACTTTTGTCCCCAGACAACAGGCCAAATTCTTGCACATAATTAACATTAGCAGTGTTACGGGCTGCCTGTGTCACATATACCAGGGGTGTAACTAGTACAAATATTTTTGTAAGTGCAATGTTTCAAAAAGAAAATTCCTCCATGATCACATCTATATACACCATTATTTTGCTTTAAAGGACCACTATAGTGCCAGGAAAACATACTCGTTTTCCTGGCACTATGGTGCCCTGAGGGTGCCCCCACCCTCAGGGTCCCACTCCCGCCGGGCTGGATGGCGAGGAAAGGGTTAAATATTACCTTTTTTCCAGCGCCAGGCGGGGAGCTCTCCTCCTCCTCTCCGCCTCCTCTCCTCCTGAATGCGCATGCGCGGCAGGAGCTGCGTGCGCATTCAGCCAGTCTCATAGGAAAGCATTCATAATGCTTTCCTATGGACGCTGGCGTCTTCTCACTGTGATTTTCACAGTGAGAAGCACGCAAACGCCTCTAGCGGCTGTCAATGAGACAGCCACTAGAGGCTTTAGAGGCTGGGTTAACCCTATTATAAACATAGCAGTTTCTCTGAAACTGCTATGTTTATAAAAAAAAAATGGTTAACCCTAGCTGGACCTGGCACCCAGACCACTTCATTAAGCTGAAGTGGTCTGGGTGCTTAGAGTGGTCCTTTAAAGTTCTTATTACAAAATGTCTGGAAATTTCTGTTACTTTAACCCCGAAATGTAAACAACTCTGTCAGAGTACATAAAGATCTCAGAGTGATCAAACATATTATAATTAACATTATTGAAGCAAAGTAGGAACAGCAAGTAACTTTATTTGTGCCTTGTCTACATCTATGACATTTGTTCCTTTTCTTTTCTATTCTGTTGCTATTTGCTATTCTCTTGTTATATTATTTGTGATACAGCCAAGGTTATTTTGTACTATATAGATACATGCTATACATGTTATTGTTTTTTTTATTTTTTTTATGGGGCTATTTATAACACTTTAAATCCATAGCGGCATATTATGTAAAAATAATTTATATCAGTTATAAGACTTAAATTCAGAGACCTATCAGAGACACTTAAATGTTCACAATTTCCTGAAACTCCAAATTAAAGTCTCTGTAAATAGATCTAAATTGGCTTTGATGTATTCCAACTCCTTTTGATTTCATGGTAAAAAATTACCCCAAATTTTATTTTAATTGCCAAATTTGAAATAATAATTTTTTTAAAATGGAAGAATAATCTATGGCATCCTAACATCAACGTTTTAGCCCATCAGCAAGGAACTCTGACTATAAAGGTTAAGAGCATCTATATACACCATTATTTTTCTAGCTAAGATATAGACCATTGCTACACAACTTTTTAAAAAGTCTTATTATGGATTCTTAACCAGTGCTGCCATCTGTGGTTTTCAGGTGTATTGCTGATTCTGAGTTGGTTTGCCTGTTTCTTCTACATGACATCCTGACAAACACTGATTGCAATTTCTGATGGCAGCCCTGGCGTACTGACAGACATCACACATAGCCATCACACAATCCTTAAACATAGCCTGACAGTAATAGGCAGGACTGCCATCAGAAATTGTGGGGCCCTTGACAAAGCTCAACGTCTGGGCCCCTCGAGTCCGCCCACATGGCTGTGTGAGGGAATATATCTTAATTCCAATGTTCAGCGTAATTAAAGCCTACATCTGATGCTCTTTATATGTAATGAAATTTTTCTCTGTAAAGTGCTGTATACGTGTCAGTGTTATAACTGTCTTTGTGTTTATTTAGTTGAATAAGTCTTTTATATATATATATATATAGATAGATATTTCTTCTTGGGCCAAATGCTCACAACATTAATATATGTCTATATTAATGAAAAGTACTAATACGCAATCTGACGTTCTTTATAAAAAATATGCATTTATTCTACTTCAACAGCAAACAATAATATACTTAACAGATGGTATTTCTTAACGACGTTAAAGAGAGTCGTCTTCGTATCAGCAAATTAGGACATCAGAGAGGAGAGCAAAACGTATCATAGAAGGAAGAGAGCGTGGTTCTTTATAGCCCAAATTACGTCATAACGTTTAGTTTAGACTCTGGCCATATAAGGAAATTCCCCATATAAAGACCACCCCAAATCTCTCTTATACAGCGAATTCCAGAGACCTCATGGTACAGAATAGCAAATGCCATCTGTTCTGTTTAACCCATTAGACAGCAACACCTTAATATGTATTTGAATAGGAACATATAGAATATGCAATATTCTACAGTCAGCATAAGTTGCGTTCTCTGTGTTCTCTAGCCCCCAACAGAGCACTTATTGGAAACTGTAAATTGTGTAACTGTTTGCTAACCCATTGTCAAGCGCTGCAGAATTTGATGGTGCTATATAAATAACATAATAATAATAATAATAATAATAATAACTAATTTTATCTTGCAACCAATCTTATGAAATACGTAACCACATACTGTTTTGTAAATTAATTTTATATTTTATGACATATGTAACCACATTAACTTATTTTATCTTTTGACTTTCCTATCTTTAAGGTTTATTTTTAAACCTTCAAGCTAAACTGTAACAATATTGTGTATAAATGCGCCTACTTTTAACCGCCTTATTTTTTAACCTTCAAGCTAAGCTGCAACAATGTTGTGTATAAATACACCCTACTTTGAATAAACAAACAGAAGTAATTCTGGTCTCACAACCATCTGTGTTGTGTGTTTATTGCTTCCGGAACTCCCATAGCAGTCCGAGCCCCCTAGGACCGCCGGGCCGATGACAACCATCATGGTTGTCATGCCCTGATGGTGGCCCTGGTAATAGGGATAAACTGTGATACATAAATATGGGGGCACACCCCTGTCCCCTAGTTAGTATGCCACTGTGGAGGACCTAAGAAGAGTTTTTAGCAGAAGAAAAGAGCTATGACAGAGAATGAATAGTGTTGGTAGGAACAATACACTTTATGGTACAATGCTCTTAAGTCATGGAAGTATCTATGGTAACATACATTGTGCATTATATAACATAAACAAAACAATATACCAGTGCATCAAAAACCCAAGTGCAAAAGGTAAATAAAATCCAATATACAAACGTTCAGAAAGAAGTTGTGTACCTACAATAAAAGTAGAAAAAATAATATTGTGAACTGTTTAAACACAGTGGTGGGGAAACACTTTATATATCAGTTTCTAGATCTTGTTTTTGTTTTTTTATTATTGATCGAAGTGCCTTACACACAAATTCTTTTGTTTGATACATTGTGCATTAGCAATGCAAGTATGAAGGATACGTGCACTCTACAGCACCGATAGATAACCTTGTAAGTATACAAGCAGTAATGTCCTTGTAATGTGAACTGTAATGTAAACGGATGTTCTCTTTCATTTGTAACTGTAAAACCCATTAACTTCTAGGATGATAACAAGGCAAGCATGCATGAACCAGGGATTCCAGTTGATTACACAGGATTGGGAGGCAAGTCAACCACTGTATGCTACAGCCTTCATATGTTTTACTGATTAACGGATATCACCGATGTCTGCTATACACAGTTATTGATGAGATATTTTTTCCCTGCTAAGACATTGCATACAAAACAGCATTAGGAATCTTTTCCCTAGATGATTTAACTATTGTTTCTCTTAAACCTCCTGATTAAAAAAAAAAAAAAAGGTCTCTGCCAAATGACACTTATTAATTCTATCTCTTTGCAGTTTGTGAGAATTTCCATAATTTCATATGACAACATAACACGTTCTGTTCAACTTCTTATTTTTATTACATTGAATGCTCCCATCCCATGCGCAGCTCTACCAGCTTTTTCTTTCTTTCACTCAACAATGTCTTCTTTAAGAGTACAACTCTATTCTATTACTTATCTTTACTCTTTCATGGAGACATGGACATGTTTTTTTTTGCTTTTTTTTACATTTTCTATTTTATGTTGAAAAACGTATATAAAAACATATAAAAAAAACTAAATTCAAATTATGGCCTTCATTTAATAAGTTTTCCAAAATGATTCAATAGTGTTAGAAACTATTAATCTGCATAAGTCACCATTAAGGGCTATTTGGATGTTTGTAGATACATAATTTGGAGAGTTTTTCTAACAGTATTGAATAATTTGGAAAGCTTATTAAATTGAGGTATATTTTTAGCCTTGGTTTACATGACTGTGCATATTGCCACTGATTGAATGGATACTATAGGCAGCAACATAACTAAATGAAGTAGTTTCTGTGTATAGATCATGCCCCATGCAGTCTCATGGTTCAATCCTCTGCCATTTAGGAGTTAAATCACTTTGTTTATACAGACCTAGTCACACCTCCCTGCATGTGACTTGGACCTTCCTGAACACTTTCTAGTAAAGGAAAATATTATAGGTTCCTGTATTGCACGGTCTTGCTGATCTAGAATTTTTTTTTATCTCCTGCTCTGTATAGCCTCTTAGAGACTGAAGGAACCTCCTGGGTGTGAATAAAATTAAATTTGCAGAGCAGGATAAAACTTCTAAAGCAAGTTAACGTTTGACTGAAAAGGAAACAATTTTTTTTTCATGCAACCAGGGTAGATTTGGCTAGGGTTGCATAAAGAGAAACAAAAATGATTTAACTCCTAAACGGCAGAGAATTAGTGAGATTGCAGTGGCATGATCTGTTCATCTCATTAAGTTGTTGAGGGTGCTGGAGATCCCCCCCCTGTCCCCCCCCCCCCACAAAAAAAATGTAGAAATAACATTTCATCTATACATTTCTGAGCAATTTGGCTAACACAAGGAATATATAATTAACTGATTTATAAAGTGACACCATGTAATTTATGCATAACTGGAGCAATCTAATATGTTATCTAAATAGGAACTGAGACAAATCATAGGTGTTTAGTTGCAAAGCTATTGCAGGAACAGAAATAACTTACCTGGCGTACCTACATGAGCCTGAACAATTGTTAATTTTTCATGTGGTGCTTTGCATTGACAGCTTGTTTCTACAGCAAATGGAGCAGGTGAGGCAATAGTCTGAAATATAAAAGAAACAAATAATGTATACTAAGAAATAATGGCTCTGATTCAGAGGTCGCAACGCCGACCAATGAATTAGTGCTAATTAGCCCTAAAAAATTACTCTCCCTGGTATAGGGAATAACCCTCAAATATATAGAAAAGCACAAAACAAAAAAATAGGACTAGAAGAGTCCTAAGTGGAAGAGTAATGGGAGAAGAGAAAGAGGGGGGTCCCTACCTTTTAATAATCCTAAGGACAAACAAAACAGGACAGGTGAAGATAAATGTGATAATGATAAACCATACAGAATAGACCCTGGGAACCAATTACTGACTAAAAGGTCTACCCAACAGTTGCCTAGTCTCAAGGTTCAAATGCCACATTTTCTAAGACTCTAAGAGTCAGACCCTAATTAGGTGAAGGTAAATCTAAGAGAAAGGAGGGCAATGTAAAGGAAGTACCCAAGAGCTAAACCCAGACAGTAACTCCTGTGAGAAGTCTTGCTGTCCCTAAAATTACCTCGGCACTGTGAGGAAGCACAAGTGCCTACCACAGCCTCAATCCCTGCCTGTCAAAAAATGCTTAAGTAAGATAAAATAAATTAATCCATCAGTGCTACCAAAAAGTGCAAAGCAAATAAATAAAAGTAAGCTCGACGCGCGTTTCGGCGTTTCAGCACACCGTTGTCAGGAGCAATAAACTTTCAAAATTCCTTGTAACGATTTAAATACCCTTTGTTGTAATACGGAAATGGAAACAGCTGTTATGACCCACGTGTGTTGCCGTGCGTACCGATTGCTCATTGGTCAATTAATTCTTAGAAACGCCCCTTATCATTCGCGTCACGTGACGTGATACTATAATGAGTCAAGGGGCATAATGTTAGAAAGAGATGGTACCCACGTGGAGTGATCAGTCCACAACACTTGATAGATTAATTTCGATGTTACAGTTGAGAGTTTAATTAAAATATTATTGGAATATTATGAAAGCATAAATTGCTATTTCATCAATATGTAATGGGCAGCCGCACACGGTGGCTACCCATTGGTCCGATGTCACTTGAACCCGCCCACCTGTCAATCGCGTCATTTGACGCGATGATGACATAGATGTATGGGCGTGGTGTGCAGACTGAATGATACCCACGTGGGGTCAATATGGGAGTGGTTAGTCTGTGAGACAACGGCGGATGAAGAGTCCCATAAACTGAGACCCAGTATAGACACTGGGTAACTGCACAATCATATTTAATCATCAGAGTATACATTGAGTACCTGAATAATGGACCTTATTATAGGACATGGATTATCAATTCCTTATAATGCATGATCAATAAATCAATTGCAATTAGAATATAATTCACGGTCATGTCCGATCATCTAAATGTATATTAAAATGCCCAAGTAATATACTAAATCTCATAACTATGGGACATAGATTAATTACTATAATGCAAAGATTGTGATGAGACAGCAAAGAGCTTAATTACAGTGTTACAACATGACTCACAATTGATATAAAGAAAAAAAAAAATTATTATAAGTGAGTCAAATTCCATTGAATCAAGGTTGACATTCAGGGACATAAAGTTACATAAGTGAAAAAATAATAATTAATAAACAGTGTTTTATTTTGTTTATCATACAATGTGTTAAATCCATAGGGGGACAGATATCTCTGTAAATTATTTACATCCAAAGTAGAAAGAAGATAAGATCAGCGAAACAAGTTAAAGGAAGGCAGTAAAGGAAAAACCCTCATTTAAGCCAACAGGGGAAAGGGTCTTGAGTCTGTAAATCCAGTAGGATTCACGCTGTCTCAATTTCTTATCCCAATCACCCTTCCGTTGGGTATGTGGAATATGTTCTATCCCCATAAATTTTAATTTGTTTGCAGAATTCAAATGATGAATCCGCAAATGGCGTGAGATTGGGGTTTCCAAGGGTCTTTTGACCGAGTTAACATGTTCCCTGATCCTTAATTTGAAGGGTCTGAAGGTTTTGCCAACGTATTTCATGCCACATGAGCAGGTAAGTAGGTAAATGACACCCTCCGTCCTGCAATTAAAAAACGAGCGGACCAGAAACATTTCCTTATTATTGCTGTCCGTGAATTCTTTGGATTTCTGGTCAATGAATTCACATTGCTACAGTGTCCGCACCTTAAGGGTCCCTCTTTTAAGGGGAGCTAAATGACTCTGTACCAATGTGTCACGTAAATTTTTACCTCTCCGCGCAGTCACAGAGGGAAATGTGGTAACTACATGTTTGACTTGTGGATCAGATGTCAAGATTGGCCAATAACGCTTTAATGTACCCATCATGAATTCCCAACCTGCATCATATGTGGCAATACAACGAATTAATTTCTGGTCTTGTCCTTGTACTTTGTCATCATTAGGAGTGACTCTCGTTCAGTGCTGATTGCTCTAGTATAGGCCCTGCGTAGAACTCTGTTAGGATAACCCTTATCCTTGAAGGCTCACCTTAGTTCCCATGCCTTGATTTTAAAGTCGTCAATGGAGGAGCAGTTATGCCTCAGTCTTAGATATTGTCCTATTGGTATACCCGCTTTTAGGGGCCGAGGGTGATGACTGTGCCAATTTAGCAGACTATTAGTGGCTGTTTGCTTCTTAAAGAGGGTGGTTGAAACCCCTCCTCCAGAGATGGTTATTGTTATGTCTAAAAAATTAAGTTGTCTACCGCCTATCTCGCTAGTGAATCTTAAGTTAAGGTCATTCACGTTGAGAAGACTTACGAAGATTTCAAAGTCTTTTTTACTCCCTGTCCATATAATTAGTACATCGTCAATGTACCGTTTCCAACATGATATCATCCCCATGAAATGACTTAAATGTGGGGATGATCTAATAAAATTTTCCCAAGTACCGAGATAAAGATTGGCGTAGGAGGGGGCACAGGATGTCCCCATCGCTGTCCCCCTGATTTGCTGGTAGATGGTGCCGTTAAAGAGAAAGATGTTTTTTGTAAGGACTGTTCTGAGTATATTAGATATAAGTTCTATGAAGGCAACCAAAGTTTGTAATTCTTCTTCAAGGATAGTTCTAATGTTGTCAATTCCCTGTGTATGTGGGATAGAACTATATAGGGACTCAACATCCAAGCTACACAGTAGTGCCTGCTCTGGTATGGAGATATCCTTCAGGAAATTTAGCATCTGTTTTGTATCTCTTATATACGATGGTAGTTTTGCAACAATGAGGGACAGAATCTTGTCCAGAAAAATACTCAGATTTTGAGTTAGGTTCCCACAACCCGAAACAATCGGTCTACCTGACAGATTGTCTAGGGATTTATGAACTTTGGGTAAACTATAGAAAGTTGAGAGTATTGGTTGTTTAACCAGCATAAACTCAAATTCATTTTTGGTAATCAGATTTTCCATTAGGGCTTGACTCAACATAGCTTTAATTTTGGTAAAGTATTGCATGGTAGGATCAAGCTTTAAGACTTGATAGGTCTCCCTGTCGTTTAGTAAACTTTGTACCATCTGTATGTATTTAGAATGATCCATAAGGACTATATTGCCGCCCTTGTCCGATGGTTTAATCACCAGTTGGTCATTCTCCTTAAGTTGCCTCAATGCCAATTTTTCTGTCTAGTAAGATTGCCAATAGATTCTACATTCAGAGTTCCTAATTCAACTTCCTCAATTTCCCTACACACCAATGTTCTTATAGTCTTTCAGATGTGGTGTGAAGAGGCTCTTGGGTGCCAGCTGGGTATTTGGGATGTTGGCATCATTAGAATTATTGGAATCAAGAAGTTCAATCAAAGTTTCCAGGCAGTCCATATCCTTAATTGTCAGCCCCAGACTTGATGCTCTTAGTTCTTTTTTATGCGTATGATATTTATGTAAGGCTAATTTGCGGGCGAACAGATGCAGATCCTTTGTCCACAGGAATTTATTAAAGGGGGGTGTAGGTACGAAGGATAAACCTTTTGAAAGAGTTTTAGTTTGTATGTCTGTCAGTGAGAATGAGGATAAATTAATTATCCTTAAGTTATTAGTTATAGGCGACGTTGTCTTCTCTGACCTCTGCCTCTCTGTGTTTGTCTTGTTCTGGGACGTTGAAGTTCGTCCGGTTGTCGTAGCCCTAAAAAATCTACACCTTTCCTTAATATACTTTTAGGTTAAACTCTTAATTGTAACTTCGAAATTAATCTATCAAGTGTTGCGGACTGATCACTCTTTCTAACATTACGCCCCTTGACTCATTATAGTATCACGTCACGTGACGCGAATGATAAGGGGCGTTTCTAAGAATTAATTGACCAATGAGCAATTGGTACGCACGGTAACACACGTGGGTCATAACAGCTGTTTCAATTTCCGTATTACAACAAAGGGTATTTAAATCGTTACAAGGAATTTTGAAAGTTTATTGCTCCCGACGACAGTGTGCTGAAACGCCGAAACGCGCGTCTAGCTTACTTTTATTTATTTGCTTTGCACTTTTTGGTAGCACTGATGGATTAATTTATTTTATCTTACTTAAGCATTTTTTGACAGGCAGGGATTGAGGCTGTGGTAGGCACTTGTGCTTCCTCACAGTGCCGAGGTAATTTTAGGGACAGCAAGACTTCTCACAAGAGTTACTGTCTGGGCTTAGCTCTTGGGTACTTCCTTTACATTGCCCTCCTTTCTCTTAGATTTACCTTCACCTAATTAGGGTCTGCCTCTTAGAGTCTTAGAAAATGTGGCATTTGAACCTGTTGGGTAGACCTTTTAGTCAGTAATTGGTTCCCAGGGTCTATTCTGTATGGTTTATCATTATCACATTTCTCTTCACCTGTCCTGTTTTGTGTGTCCTTAGGATTATTAAAAGGTAGGGACCCCACTCTTTTTCTTCTCCCATTACTCTTCCACTTACAAATAATGTATACTGTATATACATTAAACATCTTTCAAACATCTCCCAAGGCCAGTAGCCAGCTGTTGTTCATTTTGATTCCCCTTTTACTTTAACCCCTAACGACTGCGAACATACTAGGTACGTCCGACAAAAAAGGGTTGTACCTAGTATGTCCACAGATGTACCTAGTATGTCCACAGCAAATAGGAGCCCTGGACTTATCTAGACCAGCGATCTGAGGCGACCACGGTCAGGAGCTCCGCCAGAGACCCCAGTAGTCCCCATGCAGCAGCTCCAGCCACCTTGGCCCTCCAGGATTCATGATCACATGGCCGCAATAGGAGTCTATGTAGCTGCCAGCAGGGGGACTGTCTGAGCTGTCAGGCAGTCCCCCAGGCTGCTAAAAAGTTAAATATATGTGTATAGTAACCAAAAAGATGATGGCTGCACTCCACGGTCTTCTTATGTTAAAAATACAAAATGCTTTATTAAATATAAATTTAAAAAGATCAACGTTTCCGAAAGATCAGAAATATCCTGAAGAAAGCCCAGAATGGGGCTGAAACGTTGATCTTTTTAAATGTATATTTAATAAAGCATTTTGTATTTTTAACATAAGAAGACCGCGGAGTGCAGCCATCATCTTTTTGGTTACTATATATATATATATATATATATATATATATATATATATATATATATATATATATATATATATATATATATATACACACACACACACATGTATTATATATACACCTGTTATATGTATATATATATATATATATATACCGTATTTATCGGCGTATAACACGCACCGGCGTATAACACGCACCTCATTTTAAGAGGGAAATTTCAGGGAAAAAAAACTTAAAGGACCACTATAGTGCCAGGAAAACATACTCACGCGGAACAGGAGTTTCTGTTTCCTGTACCCGGTCGGACTGACAGGAAGGTGCACACTGAGCGTGCACCTTCCTATCACTCCGGCCGGCCACCGCGGACAGCAGAGCGGCTCGGCCACGCTACAGGGGAGGTGAGTACCAACTGCAGCCGCCTGAGCGCTCTTGACAGAGCGCTCAGGTGGCTGCAGTATTTAAAGGGCCGGCGTATAACACGCACCCACAATTTCTCCCCTATTTTCGGAGAGAAAAAGTGTGTGTTATACGCCGATAAATACGGTATATATATATATATATATATATTTATATATATATATATATATATATTGAAATATATATATAATATAAATAAATAAAAATCATTTACTTATATATATACACACACACACATTCTACATATATATATTTAACTATTAACTACATAATTATTAGATTTTATTAATTATAATTTGAGGGACCTGCCTGACAACCCAGGCAGACAGTCCAGAGAATTTAATTGGCAAGCACTATATTTAACCCCGTAACTTTCCAAAACACCATAAAACCTTTACATGGGGGTATTGTTAAACTAGGGAGGCTTTGCTAAACACAAATATGAGTGTTTGAAACAGTAAAACTTATCACGATGATGCTATCGCCAGTAAAAGTGCAGTTTTTGTTTAAAAAAATGCAAAAAACTAATAAAAACACAAACTTCGGCCCGCGTTTGTGACTAAATGGCTACGACAAAAGACTGAAAATACCCCATTTTGAATACCATGAGTTGTCTACATTTAAAAATGGTATGCCATGATGCGGTTAATTCACATTTCTACGCTACCATATAGTCGCAAAAGGCAACATAGACACAGCAAACCAATCTGGCAAACTGAATTGGGCAAGCCCTATATTGACCCTGTAACTTTCCAAAACACCATAAAACCTGTACATGCAGGGTATTGTTATACTCGGGAGACTTTGCTGAACACATATACGAGTGTTTAAAACAGTAAACCTTATCACGATGATGAAATCACCAGTAAAAGTGCAGTTTTTGTGTAAAAAAATGCAAAAACAAATATGAATGTTAACTTTGGCAAGCATTTGTGGCTAAATGGCTACTACAAAAGACTGGACATACCCCATTTTAAATACCCTGAGTTGTCTACTTTTTCAAATGATATCTCATGGTGGGGTTAATTTTCATTTCTGGGCTGCCATACCGTCTCAAAGGCAACATAGCCAATCTGGCAAATAGCAATTTACAAAACAGAAATTGGCAAATCTCATATTTGATCCTGTAACTTTCCAAATCACCATAAAACTTGTACTTGATGGGTACTGTTGTACTGGTGAGGCATTACTCTACACAGATATGAGTGTTTTAGAGCAGTAAAATGTACTACATTGATAATTTTATTGGTGAAATTGCAGTTTATGTGTGAAAAATGCAAAAAAACTAATATAAAAGCTAATTTTGGCCAGGGTTTAAGTGGCTACTAAAAAGACCTGTAAGTTTGCAAAAATCCATAAAACATTAGGGGCATTGTTGTACTCAGGAGATGTTGCTGAACACTTATTGGGGTGTTCTTTGTCAGTAACAAGTAACAGGAACCGAGAATCCATGCCTAAAGTACAATGTGAGAGAAAAATAACACAAAAAAATGACTACACAAAAGTTTGACAAAGACTGGTGGTAGAATTAGTGCATGAAAAGTGTTAAAATACCACCATTTGAAATACCCTAGAGTGTCTACCTTTCAAAAATATATGGCTTGATGGGGTAAATAACACTGGGTGGCTTAAAAAATGTCCCAAATTGAAGGCACTGTTCCAAGTAACGGCATAGATATTAGGTACGCGCAGGTACCTCAATAATGCATAACAAGATATGGGTGGATTCACAGATCCCTTCTAGCTGATATGGATATAAGGCCAACAAACATAATAACTAGTTCGAAGAGCTGCAAATGGTGCCTGGTTCAGTTTGTAGGGCACCGTTGAGTGTCCGCCACAGAGTGGGCACGGGGGAGGTGTGGGTGGAGTGGAGGGAGGGTCTAGGGAAGGGAGCTGGGAAAAACAGGGAGTGGAAATCTGCGGACTCCACCGTGAAGATCCATCTGCTAGCATGCGCTGGAACCAAGTGGCCATCGGGGGTGGACACTCCTGTTTCCAGTAGAGGGGGAATCCTACATTGAGAATCCTTATAGGGAGTGATTTCTTGTAGATCGATGTGCGAAGTTTGGTATGGCGTAAGAGTATTGTAGCAGGTTGCAAGGGTGAGGGATCATCTGAGAATTTCTGTCGGGTCCGACAGGAGCGCCTCATTGAGGCGCCACTGTCCAAAAGCTGGTCTGTAGAGGGGGGATGAAATTGTCATATATATCGGGGCATGGTCCAACCACGTAGCAGTCCTGATGTGTGCTTTTTTCAGGTCTGTGAGAGAAGTAGTCTATCCTCGAGTACGTCTGGTTGGGCATGGAGAAGAATGTGTAGTTTTGGTCCTCTGGGTATTTTGCTCTCCAACAATCTACCAGTTGGTGTTCCCATAGGCAGGTGTTGATGGAGTTAATAACGTGGTGGGGTGTGGAGGAAGTAGCTGATGATGTATCTAGTGAGGGATCCAGTGCGACGGTGAGGTCACCTCCCATGATGAGGCAACCCTCGGTAAAGCCCCTGATTGTTCCCATGGCTGATTTGAGGAACCGACTTCCTGTTCGCATGTAGAGGTTTGCCAATGTTTGGTCACCCACTCTACCCTTCATGCAGATGTATCTTCCCAAGTCATCATTGAGCACTTCAATGGGCGTGAACTGTAGGGCCCTATGTATCAGTATGGCTACCCCTTTCGATTTTCCCTCCGGGTTATTGCTAAGAAAACATTGTGTGAAGCAGTGGTCTGTCAGTTTGGAAGTCTGGTCTACCCTGAAATGTGTTTCTTGTATAAAGACTATGTGCGCCCTTTGGCTATGAAATTGCCTGAGGGCGTGAGAACGCTTTTCTGGTATGTTCAAGCCTTTTGCATTAATGGACATTAGGTTGATCTCCGCTTGTCTATATGCCTGTGCCATATTGTGTGTGGGGGGGAGGGAAGGGAGTGCAGGGGTGTATCTAGTGAGTGAAGAAAAGGGTTGGGAGTTCGAAGGCCAGGTGTTATACGGTTATTGGGGGTAAGGTTTCCAATGCCTCATCTCCCCCGTGCCCAGTCAGCGGACGTTTCTCTGTGCAATAAAGTGAGTCCGGGAGAAGTTTCCTTATATCTAGGGCGAGGGCGTCGGGAGGGTGAGCCCAGGGCCCGCACCTGTCGACTGGCTGGGTCCCCCTCTTACTGTTTGTCACCTCTTACCGGGTGAGGAGCTTGGCGTCCTTTAACAAATAACAGGTTATTAACTATATACAGAGTACTGTGTTTCTCATACACAAGGGTCAGAGTCCTCAGAGCGAGCCAGTCGCAGGGTCGCCGAGCGCTCCTGTGGTGGCAATCACGCTTACACCACTACACAAGATGACTCCATGTATCCCATCAGCCATGGCCGCCCTATAAGCCTCGAGCCGCAGAAATATGTTGTCCACATTACGTTATAACATTGTCCATTTCTCATTAATGAGACTGATGAGGTTGGATGTATATAGCCCTCTCTAACCCCCCGTGTGTTGGGTGCATAGGAGCCTATGTGTCGCTGCACTCTGGAGCTGTTCCCTCCCGCCCCATGCCATGCTCCTATCTATGCCTCCCCCAAGCAGTCTGTGGTTGATCTGCTTGCTTGTCCCCCCCCTCCCAGCTCCCTATCCCTTCCCTTGTTTAGCAACTGTATGAGGCCTGTGAAGCTGGCCCTTGCCAGTGAGGTGGTGCTAGTAGCCTCCTCAATCGTCTGTCCCTTCCCTCTCCCACCTCCGGACCCTCATTGATAAACTAGGTCCTACACCATACATCAATTATCAGTTTCCCACTGTCCACTTCCTTCCCTGCGGGAGAACGTGTTTAAAGACGATTTTCGTCCCAGGCCCACCAGTGCGACCCTCCCCACCACGCGGGGTCCGGGGACAGCCAGGGACCCCCGCCGCAGGGCGGTGGTGGTATGGGTTACACTCATTGTACCTCCCCTCGTGGTACTTAAGGCATAAACAATAAACAATATTGGCCCCGTCTGCAGTGTTTAGATGTGGTACCACAAAATGAGTTCATAACCTGCATTGTAGCCGTCTGACTGCAAGTCTTGTTCGTTAAGTGGGCTCTTACTTATGTTGTCTGGGGAAAAGTTTGGAGTGTTCCGGCGTTCTTCCAAGTGCCTGTCAAGGCTCATGGTACAGTTCATGCCGTGTTGAGTCACAGTCCCCCGATTAGTGTTGTGCCCCTGTGGGTCACGTGGATTCCATCTGAATTCCGTTCCTCCATTGTGGCAGTGCCTGTTCCGGTGGTTCTGGTGTTGGGTGGTAAAAGTCTAGTGGGTCAGGCCAGCGCATGTTAATGGGTGGCAACTGGAGATAGTCTGAGATGGCCATTAGGTCTCATTGATGGCGTAGCAGACATGGCCCTTTTGGAGATTGCTAGTCCTGTTGGGAATATCCAGCGGTATTGGATTTTCTGTGCTACCAGTACACGGGTGAGGGGTTTGAGGGCGCGTCAAAATCCCATTGTGGCAGGGCACAGGTCAGGTCACAGTTGCAGGCTATGGCCATCATATCTGATTTCTTGTGAGTTCCGGGCTGCCTGTAAAATGTCTTTTGAGGGCGAAATGTCTTGAGGGCTAAGTGAGCTAGGCAACAGATCACGTCTCTTGGTGGGGCATCTGGTGGGTTTCAGTGCCCTGTGAGCTCATACAAAGTCTATAGGGGTGTCCTCTGCTCTGTTCAGAAGCCTGTTAAATATGCCTATGAGCTATGTCTTGAGTTGTGTGATAGTTGTATGGTAGAGTCTTCCCCCTCTGGTATCCCCTGCAAAGAACTTAGCTTCACGCGTCCATCTTTGTCGGCTGCTCGGCCACACCCCCCAATTAAGGTCTTTAAGCCCCCGACAAACCTATGTATGGGTGGTATCACTGTACTCAGGAGATGTTGCTGAACACATATTGGGGTGTTCTTTGTCAGTAAGACATATCAGGTCTCAGTACATGTATTCTTAAATTGCTATGTGTGTCAAAAAAATCACCAATTATTATTATTTTTTTTAATTTGGCATATGTTGGTGGTAAAATGGTTGCATGAAAAGAGACAAAATACCCCAAGTTTAATCGTGATCAGGAAGGAGGTTCAGCGCTGATAGGAAAACAGAGAATATGACAGCAAGGCAGCACACCTATGGAAAAGGGGAATCCCCTCTAAGCCCCTTTGAATACAATGGAGAGAAAAGAACAAATAAAGGTGCGCCTAAGACAAGTAGAGCTGGATTTAAGCTCTGAATATTGTGAGTAGTTCTACTATTATATATACAATATTATTTACCGTTCATACTATACCATTGGAGTTTCCCTTGTCTTCTGTTTTCTTCACATATCCACTTTGAAGCTGCGGATATACATCTGGGACTTCACATACCATTTTATGTACCAGTAGGACTACCTCCTGCATATGTGGATTATTTATATTCGGACTTTTTTAGGTATCACTGCTCGTACTCTCTGATATATTTTTTATATATTTTTATATTCATTCTACTTGTCTTAGGCGCACCCTTATTTGTTCTTTTCACCCCAAGTTTAATACCTTAGGTTGTCTTCTTTTAAAACATATATACCTGTGTAGGATTATTCAGGGATTCACAGATATCAGTGTTACAATGTAACTTTTGTTAATTTAGAAATAAAATGGTTTTTAAATAGCAAAGTGCTACTTATACTTGTTGTCCTAATTCTGTCCCCAAAAAGCTAAGAACATGTTAACATTGGGTATTTCTAAATGCAGGAGAAAATTTAGAAACTATTTAGCACGGGTGTTTTTTGGCTTTTGCAGATGTGTAACCGATTTGGGGGGTCAAAGTTAGAAAAGGTGTGTGTTTTAAAAAAAACTATTTATCATTAGTGATGTCCCAAACTGTTCACCGAACGGTTCGCCACGGACTCGTCATTGAGTAAACTTTAACCCTGTACCTCACAGTCAGCAGACACATTCCAGCCAATCAGCAGGAGACCCTCCCTCCCAGACCCTCCCACCTCCTGGACAGCATCCATTGTGAAGCTGCATTCTTAGTGAGCTGTCCAGGAGATGGAAGGGTCTGGGAGGGAGGGTCTGCTGCTGATTGGCTGGGATGTGTCTGCTGACTGTGAGGTACAGGGTCAGAGTTTACTCAATGATGAGTCCGTGGCGAAACGTTCGCGGTGAACCGTTTGCGAACCGTTCGGCGAACAGTTCGGGACATCACAATTTATCATATTTTATAATATTTTTTATAGTAAATTATATGATATGATGAAAGTAATGGTATCTTTAGAAAGACAATTTAATGGCGAGAAAAATGGTATATAATATGTGTGGGTATAGTAAATGAGTAAGAGGAAAATTACAGCTAAACACAAACACCTCGGAAATGTAAAAACAGCCCTGGTCCTTAAAGGACCACTATAGTCACTGTGACGAAAGCAACTTTGCCACTGGGTCTTGGAAGGGACTACTGGCCAGCCTTTTACCCTGTGATTATGGCCCCTTTAATTTATTTTGGCTGAGGGTCCCTAATTGTTCCTATTGGCACTTTAAACATTGGTTCTTCGAACTCCCAAACAGTCTAAGTGGCCGCCATTCGACATTCGAACACGTGGTGGCAACCATCTTGTTCACATGGATTAAAACCGTGAATAGACTTCAGGGGGACTTAGCCGCGAATGCCCTGGGACTATTTTCGGCATGAAAACCTGCCCAGGGACTATTTTCGGCATGAAAAAAAGCAGTTCCTGGTCGGTCCTCCAGCGGCACTTAGCTGCAAATCTATGGAGCTGTTTTGGGTATGAAATCCTGGATTTGCCTGGGCAAAAATATGACTTCCATAAAATTTCTGAACCCCTGATCTGATCTGGGTGATTTTTGGATATGTTGTTCACCCAGATCAGGGGATGTAAGATTGATGGGGATATGTTATGTTTTAGGGTGTATAAATATGTGTTTTTTCTGCCTGTGGATAATTAGGTTTATGCATTAACTACCTTAATTATACCACAGGCAGAGGGTGGGGATTGTTTAATGTATGGACATTGTTATACTGTTCTTATTGGTCTGTACAGTTTGTAATGCAGTGTTCCATCAGGTCCAGGGGGTGTGCCTCTGGCCTGAGGAATTGTATATAAGCTAACCTGTACCAATAAAGATTCAGACTTGGTCTACCATTCATGAAGTTTTGGCTTATGTTTGGGGGATTGGAGAACTACCTACACTCTGGGGATTGCTATAATCACTATACTCCCCAGAGCATAATCACTAAGCTCTTGTAAGAGTTTGTTCCTGTTCCTGCTCTCTGGATTAAGAGAGGTCTACCTACTGGAAGCTGGATCCTGGTCTTGGGTCCAGAGTGGGTGGAAGACGGCGAAACCCCAACCAAACTGCGGCGGTTCGTGGGGTCTGCGGTGGCTATGGTGTCTAGTGGAGTGCTTGGAGCCCTCGCAAAGTACTAGGAGCATCCGTCAACAGAGGTACCCAGTCGGGGTGCCAGGCGATATGTTACAGGCACCCAGACCACTTCAGCTCAATGAAGTGGTCTGGGTGCCAGGCCCCCCTAGTTTTAACCCTGCAGCTGAAAACATAGCAGTTTCAGAGAAACTGCTATGTTTACACTGCAAGGTTAATCCATCCTTTCGTGGTTGTCTCCCTGACAGCCACTAGATGTGCTTCCGCAATTTACACTGAGTAAATTGCACTTATTTGACACTGGGCATCTTCACGTACCTCCAGCGTCAAAAAAGATCCCCATAGGAAAGCATTAAGTAATGCTTTCCTATGGGCGGGTTTGAATGCGTGTGCGCTTCTGTCCGCGCATGTGCATTCGGCTCCACTCAGAAGTTGACGTCGATGGAGGAGGAGAGGTCACCAGTGCCGATTAAGGTCCCACTCCTCTAAATAATTTTACAAGGGAGTAGGTGGACATGATATTGTCCACCCTCTCCAAAATTGAAAATGGCCAAATAAAAAAACATAATGCCGTGATGCAACTCTTGAAAATAAAAATGAAAAAGAATGCAAATAACTGGAAAAAATCCAAAACCCAGGAGAAAAAATATTTAAAGCAGGAAAACCTTTTTAAAGGCTTTCCTTTGCTTTGAATTCTCATTAGAATACTTTCTCTCGAGACTTCCAGTCAGAGTGCTATAATTGGTTGGTTTACAAGCCATCCAATCAGAGTGCTCTAATGAGAATTCACAGCATGGGAAAGCTTTTAAAAGCCTCATTCACACAGAGCCCTCACAGTATATTAGTATTAGATGCCCAACCTACCACGAGTTGATGGGTGCTCAGTAGAGATGTCGCGAACCGCCCGCGAACTTCTCGCGAACGGTTCGCCGCAAACTCCGGTCAGCTGACACATCCTGGCCAATCTCCAGCAGACCCTCCCTCCCAGACCCTCCTACTTCCTGGACAGCATCCATGTTTCACGTGGATGCTGTCCAGGAAGTAGGAGGGTCTGGGAGGGAGGGTCTGCTGGAGATTGGCCGGGATGTGTCAGCTGACCGGAGTTCGCCACGAACAGCTCGTGGCGAACCGTGGCGAACCGTTCGCGAGAAGTTCGCGGACGGTTTGCGACATCTCTAGTGCTCAGGTTGGGATATTAGGTCCCCCCTTAATACTTTAATGGGTAGGACCTGGGGTGGGGACATTATGTCCCCTCCCCTTTTAGTAAGTAGCCCCCACCCACTTACAACATCATATACTATACATATACTATTTGCCACCTGGCTGCCAGTACTCCAGATGATCAATTCACTTTCAAAAAAAGAAAGTGAACAATACTTGTATACATACATTTGTGTTTGAAATTTTCTTTAGGAAGCTTCCAAATCCTATCCATTTTATAGGGTTTGGATGGGAAAGCAATGATTGTAATCTGGACACAGTGAAGGAGTTTAAGCATGTGTGGGAAACGCATTAGGCTATCCTAGACTTAAAGGACCACTATAGTGCCAGGAAAACAAACTAATTTTCCAGGCACTATAGTATTAATAGGTGTCCCCCCCACCTTTACCTTTGTCCAGCACCGGGCTTCCTCGGCACTGGGGACTCTCCTCCTCCTCTCCAATCACAGTGAGAAGCGCGGAAGCGCCTCTAGCGGCTGTCAGTCAGACAGCCACTAGAGGCTGGACTAACCCATATGTAAACATAGCAGTTTCTCTGAAACTGCTATGTTTACAGCAGGCAGGGTTAAACCTAGATGGACCTGGCACCCAGACCACTTTATTAAGCTGAAGTGGTCTGGGTGCCTATAGTGGTCCTCTAAGATAAGGTCAGGGACTAATGAAAGTATTTAAAAAATTGGGCAGACTAGATGGGCCAAACGGTTCCTATCTGTTGTCACATTCTATGTTTCTATGACACCAAATGCATCCGGATGATTGCAACAGATTCTTGTAGCCTGACAGAATTCCAACCATATTTGGGTTTAGTAAATAAAGCTAAAATAAGCTAGTTTGGAAAAAAAAGTATTGAAAAAAGGCTATGCCTCCTGGACAGCTTCCCTACATAGAGGATCATGCAACTCTCGTGTATTTAAGGATGTGCTCACACTGTGCTGCGCAGAGAGAGTTACCTGGTGTTCCCGGATGCAGGACACCAAGTATTTAAAGCAGGCCAGTGGGACAGAACCCCCAAATGAGAACTGTCCAGCCAAAAGCAAGACCGTTGGGAAGCAAGTACATTACTTTTACAGAACCAAAAATGTATCCTGCCATTCTGAAGATAGAAAAAGAAAATGCTACAAATTAGGCAGTGACCATCAAAGTTTTGCTATGAGCTATGCACATGTAACTAGTTAGAATATACTCAATATAATTTTTATGCAATCGCTATGCTATGCTGCTTTGTTTAAAGTAAAATTTACAGTTCACAATTAAAATTCATGTTCTTGTTATGTTATTTGTAAGTTCTTGTTAGTGAAACGTTAGTGAATAAAGTATCAAAACTGATTTAAAATTTTCCAATTCACCTCTGCACAATAGGATTACTATTCAAATAGTTGTTGCTTGGTGGCAATAAGACCAGGGGTTTCAGACAAAAGGTAAATGTTATAGTCCCATTCAACCATTTATTTGTTTGCTATTAAATTTATCACATGACAGGAGGCTTCGTATTTTGCATAATCTTTCTTTACTAACTCCATAGCAGCAAAGAAAAGAGTGACAAAACTAAGAACCAATCACAATGTAGTATAGGGTATAAGAGGCGTGACATATGACATCATTTCCTCTTTCTTTGCTGCTCCATCACAAGAGCTAAGTACACAATTTTTTCTCTGTCATATTTGCTAAACTGTGATTTATACATATTCATACTATCATTGTTTACCTAACTGTGATAATATCATACATATTGTATTGTTTTCTATTGATTACCTCTACCATGGTGGGGGCTACCACTCTCCTTTGGGGTCTGTTCAACCTTCCCTCCACCCCCCCCCACCCGTGGCTTCTGGGGTATTTCCTGGTCCCCAAAAGGATTTGGGACTCCCCAGCCGTTTATTCTACTTCCCAGCGCCATTACTATTCCCGCGAGCTTCTTCTTTATGCCGTGCGTTCGCGGAACTTTCCCGCCTTCTGCTCACCCTTTCGCCTCACGTACAGCACTAAAATCTTGGCGTGCGTTCGCGGAAGGACATTCACTCCTTTTCTACCGAATGCTCACCGTTCGGCAGTTTTACGCGATCGCTGCTTGGCGCTCACATTCGCATGCTCGTATGCACAAACACTCGAACAGCATTACCAGAAAGCTCAGGTTCGGCTGTTTGTGCTCACAAACGCCTGCATTCGTGCAAATCCTTGATTTGCCGCCCAGACTAGGGGAGGTACTATTAGTCCGGCGGCCATTTTAAAGGGATATTGCTACCAGACAAACTGCCTATTTCTACAGCTCTGAGTCAAAGCAAACCTGTTACTATACCCTGCCTGTTTTCAATCAGTGGGACCAAATCAGGTTAGTGTCTAACACTTGGGTTTGGTTAAGCCAGTTGGGCTATCCCTTATTCTGGCCGGGGTGAGCCCCCATTCATGTGCTGCTGAATGGACCTGTTTATGCAGGACTCCGGTTACCTGGGTGAGCCCCACTGACAAGCCCTCTCATCACCTTC